GCCCCGGCAATTGTCGTTCGTTAGGAGACATATAAGTCTAATCGTACGAAAAAAAAAAAATCACGACGGTGCGCGCGCGTCGCGCGCACCGCGAGACTGACTTTAAAACACTCGCTTGCAGGAATTTCGGAAACAGTGCAATTACGACTTAAAAGTCTGTGGATCTAGTCAGAATGGGGGAATTTCTAGTGATCTCTAGTCAGGACACACGTCGTTTTTTGAGAGTCCATTCGGGAGAAACGTCGATTGCATCGGACATTCTAGACACGCCCGCGCGAGCGAATCTTTGAATAATTGCTATAAATATATATACATATAGTTTAGGTGTCCTTACGAAAGTGCAAAAGGAACGGCTAATATATATCGTGCGGCGGTCGGTGTGTGAAAAAGAGTGCGTCTTTCGTGACGACGGTCGGTGCTTTGTCGCGGCGTGAAATTAAAAAAAAAAAAGAAGAAGAAAAGGACACGACGCGGATGCACAAGATATCCGATACCCATGCGACGCGATCCGCGATCGCGTCATCGTCCCTTTTCGTTTTTCACCATCACCGTGCTTATGGAAACAGGAAAAAGAGCATTCGCAATCGCAATTATTGCCTGCTGCATATTACCGCTTCTTCGTACGCGGCATGTCCAATCGACGATGTCGTGCATGGGCGTTTCACTTGCGTTCTCGGATTTGGATTTGCTTTCGACCGCCGTAGATCACTCTGAGGACGATCCGACTGCATCCCGTACTCGAGGCTAAAAGTGTAGAATTTTTTAACTGTACTTACGACTATAATCTAACCTGTATATTTTTACATATTGAATATAGGGAAGTGAATTGAGGGTCGACGCGCGGGAGAAGGCGCGGGTGAGAGTCGAGTATATTAAAAAAAGAAAACAAGTAAAGAAGCACGCGTGAATATAGAGGTGAATATACACACATACACACCCACACACACACACACGAATCTAATTATAAACTTGATAAGGACGCGCATAATTCTCACACGTAAACACAAAACAGACACACACGCATACTTGGGCGCGACACTACAAGTATCCTCGAGCCTTGAGGGAGAAAGATATTATACAGGTCATAAAAGATGAAATCGGTTTTATTGTTGATTTCGGCGTGGCATACAATAAAATTTTGTAATCGGTGGCCCCGGGGCCGCGCTTTCGCGCCTGGGGCCCGAGAACGTTGCGTAGTATAATCAAACACCGATATACAATGCGAGTTTTTCCTCGACCGGAACCGGGGCGACTGTCGCGGACGGGTCAGGATCGCCGAGAGCGCGAGGGCGCGCGATCAGGGATCAGGGAAAACCGAAATCCGCGTGAAGTGGGACGGGATCGTCCCCCGGCGATCCTGAGGGCGCGCCACGATACGTCGCCGCAACACGCGTCGCAGGAAGATATCTGTACATAGAGAACTGCAACATAGCACAGGGTGTACGTACATGCCGGTGCACACGTAATGTCCTATATAGCGGAAAATACTAACTATGATAGTGTATGAAAATAATAAGACGTTCGCGGAGCAGGCCGGGGCGCTTGATGACGGAAGAGCTTCGCCTCTTTTCCCCTTCACGACGAATCTCGCCCTCGCAGGTAAGACCCTCGGAAACGAGAGAGAGAGAGAGAGAGAGAGAGAAAGAGAAAGAGAAAGAGAGACCGTCGCCCCAACGGTGCATAGTAATTGACAATTTACGATCGCTACGCTCGCACCTTCATGACGATAAATCAGAACGAAACGCGTGTAAGACGGCGCGAAAAAAGGAAAAGAGGAAGAAGATAGTGAGAGCGTATTTGGGCTCGTTCCCTTATTATAAAGATCCACAAGTTAGGTTTTTTTTTTTATTCTCGTTTAAGAATGACTCTCTCTTGCCGATGATAATGCAGGGAATGTGCATTAATAGTTTAATTGAAAAAACCTTAGTCAAAGTATTCTTATATTTTATTGTTCGGTTGTTTCGACGTTACTGACAAGCGTGGAAGCACGCTGTATTATAAGTTTCATACGTGCAACTGTAGATTAGTTTCCCATTTCGATATATTCCGCTGTAAAACGAGATGTGTGAGGAAGGTCTTTTTTTAGTTAGCAATGCCCCGAAACGGAGGTAGCATTACAATAACTATTTATTACGTGCGAAACAGTATTAATCGACGATAATGCGTTATAAGCGAGTGTGCAAAATTTATGAATCGATCGAATCGACGACATGGTTGATTTACTACTATTAAGATTATTATTATTATTGTTTGATTATTATTGTACTTTTATGATCATTATTGTATTAATGCTACTGTCGCTATTTTACCGCTGTATCACTGATATTACCGTCAAATGGCGATTATTATAATTATTTCGTAATGAACTGTATAAAAGTCGGACGGCTGGATCGGACGTAAAAATAGGTGGGAGCAAAACTTGGGTAAGATGTGTGCTTTGTGTAGGAAGAGCAAAAACTCTGTCTATAAAACTTAAGAAATTCGATGCGGTTGCGAGCGTACGCCGAGAAGACAAACGATCGACGCCATGTAGATCAAAAAAGTAATCGATTTAAAACGGTAGTGCGAGATGCGACAGAGCGTTATTAGCATATCAGCGTGTTGAGCTTAGAGAGGCGCGCGGAACACAATGAGACTACGCGTGATAATAATATTACCAGTAGTATGTGTGCGTTTAGAGAGCAAACGAGAGAGAAACAGTGAACGAACGGTTGTATGATGGCAGGTGTTTCGGAGAAGCAAAACAGGTCGTGCGAAACGTTCCTCGGTGCTGAAAAAACGCGATGTCCTTGATACTGTTATATTTTAACACACACGCACACAAATAGATGATTATTAATATATCAAAAGTGATTATACTGAATTAAAATACTATGTTGTAATAAAAGGGAAACTAACATTAGTATCAAATATTACACTAATGCGAATTATTAACGTTGGATCAGCAATGTAACGTCTATGCACTTTTCATGAAAATCGTGAGAATTTAAAAATGTCAAACGTCGACGTGTAACATGCGTCACGTACGCGAACGAACCTAGAAAATAATTAAATACAAGAATATGATATCGTACATAATAGTGTGAAGTAAATTCACGATATTTGCATACAAGATATATTGCTGCATTGTAACGATAGTATTGCTTTCCCATTACGTTGTAAAAAACAGTGTCAGTGGCATCGAACAGCATTTGACATGTGTGTAAAGGAACGTTTGCGTTCGACTGAAGTCTCCGAAGCTTTACTGAGGCTTTCATCGGCAGAATTTTTCGTCACGCGCACGGAAACGAGAATCAGAGACAAATTGCGATGCTGCTACGCGTAACGTCTACAACGAACGTTACGCGAAGCGTGTACTGTAAAATTACAGCGGGCTGTTTACGACGCGGCGAATATCGAGAAATTCCGCCGACATGTGTAGAGAATAAATAGTTATTTATAAAGTCACTCTAATCGAGGGCGAGAGAAGTAAAGTGCGAGACTAGGGGTGAGGGATGCAGGCGCGAGGGGTGCGATGCAGGGGTGAGGGTAGCGCGCGAACGGAAGATATGCCATTTTGAATTATTATTTTCATAAGGGGAACGTGTAAGATATAAAATATAATATATAATATATCGATATGGACGAATTAACAGCATCATCGGGACTTATGATCGCGACGATGATGATGGTTAATATTATTATTATTGCTATTATTATGGTTATTGATTATGATTATTATGGAATGACGATTATTATTATAACGAGAAAAAAAAGAAGCTAATGCATTATATAAAAATAAAAGTAATTACACTTAACACTTACGTTAGGAAGCTAGATACATACATTTGACGCAAGCGAGAAAATGGAGTAACCCACGCGTTCGACGAAGAGGAGTCTAAGCGACATAAATTAACGTCGTACATTTCTATATCAAGGTAGAACACGGGGACGTATTATAATGAACTAACACAGTTTTTAGCGAACGTCGCGGGTACCTGCATTTCGTCGAAAAAATTATGGGATACAAAATGATCAAGTATCTGCGAGAATCGTTGAACTTTATCAAGTTATACATAAATCCCTCGTTCGCGTTTGGTTGTACCGTTTCTGTTGAGATGACACTTCGCATTTCGTTCGTTTTCCCAGTGACATCATCCTCATGCTAAAAAAAAAATTGACGAAAATTGACTGACCCGTGTCTATGGACGGAAAGAGGTTTCCCGACGTACGCATTTTCGCGCCACGGACGTGTTCCCGTATTTCGAATTCGTAATTCTGATGATTTGTATCCTCCGTTCGTTTTTTGTCTTACGTGAACGCCGAGCCGAAAGTTCTCCGTACGACGTACCTTATCCTTAACTTGATTACATAAACTAGCTATTACGGACATGGCCATTAGCAGAGAAATGTACCATTCAGATAGTTTATCATTAAAGAAACGGTAATCATCATAGGTATATTAACGACATTATTTATATTATTACGCATATTATATATAAATAATTGATAACAGATACTAACCCCCTCCCTAAAGAGAAAGAGAGAGAGAGAAAGAGAGAAAGAGAGAAAGAGAGAGAGAGAGTGAAGTATTGCGAGAGCGGGAGGGGGATGGGAAAAGGGGGAAAACTACGAAAGGGTCGCGTCCGCGTGGACGCGACGGCGGCGGTGCGTCGTTTTTTTTCGTAACGATGTCACCGGCACGAGAGTGAAAAAAAAAAGATAATGAATAAATCGCCAATTACTTTAACTTCGACAGTACTATTATTTGTATATGCCGAACGATTATGCCGTTTTCAGCGCAACATATTTTGGCAATTCTCTTTGGTGGTATGGTTCATAGCGATCGCGTTTCGGTGAGAGAAAGAAAGAGCGCGAGCGAGAGAGAGAAAGAGAGAGAGAGAACGAGAGCGAGAGCGAGAGAGAGAAAGAGAGCAAGCGAGAAAGAGAGCGAAAGAGAAATGGCGAAACCGGAGAGAGGGAGAGAAAGAGGAATAAAAGAATAAAACAAACGAACAAAATAAAAATCAGAAGTTTCTATACTTTTTACGGAGATTGTTATAGTCTAAGCGCACACTGATCAAGGCATTCGTCGCTCGGCAAAAGCATAATACAATTATTAATATAAAATTTATAACAGAAATAAAATAAATGAAGTTAATAAATATGTACACTGTATAATAAACATTATTTCCTATTAATAATTCACGTCTCTTTATTTATCAATCTCCCAGTCGTCAATCGGACATTACATAATATTATTTAATATACATACATATATATATAAAATATGCGTTCTATACACATGTTTTCCACATATCTTTCAATTACAAAATTATAATTTACAGGTCTCATACAAATGCGTGTTGAATATATCAGTGTATCTGGCACTTTCTCTTTCCGACCATCAGTAATCCAAGCCGCTTGCTGACGACTGATATAATCATTTTCAACATTGATAATCCCTAACTAACATAACAAGAAATAAAAGAATTTTTTGCTAGATCTCGATATATTTTTTAAGTAAACATGGAATTATGCAAAGATGCCAAGTCCTTCTCCCTCTCCACCGCTCGTTTCTTTTCCTTCCTGTACATTTCGTAGTCCTCATCGTCCGTCGGCAATTCGTATCGGCAGAGAGGACACGAGTTGGTCTGCAAATGCAAGGTTGCAATGATTAAAATGCACAATAAACATTTGTACATTCAATATCGTTCGTCTTGTCATTATTTTAAATTGTTTTTGCATTACTTCGCAATTTGACATACTTTTTCCAACCACGGTAAAATACACTCTTGATGAAACGTGTGACCACAGGGCATCGACTTCGCTTTATCGCCCGTCTGAAATTCCTTCAGGCAAACCGGACACTGCTTGGTCTCATTGGAATCGATTTTAATTTCCGGCAAATTTTTCACCGCCTCCTTCGATGCCGGCGGTGGAAGTTTCTCATCCTGTCCGAGCATGTCCCACGTGCCGAAATCCCGCAGAAACCGCACCATTTGAATCATAAGATTCGGCGTTTCTCCGTCATCCAGTGGCCTCCAGCCCATTTCTTCAAAATAACCAGCCATAACGTCAAAGTCGCAGAAATATACGTCACGAATAAAACAGCAATATCACGGCGTCCGCTTTTATTGCAACGAATAACTTCACTTTTATCTTCGGTATTCGCGATCAATCTTCATTCCACAGACATCTTGTTTATACTGCTGTGGAGTTATCACGTCATACACGATCTATCAAAAGCCTTGAGTCATACTGAAAGCGAATAATCGGTTTGGAGCAGAGAACAAGAAAATGTTAGAGGGTCTTCGCGTGGCTAAAGACCAAAGCGGAAACTCGATGCAACTACGTTGAACATTTGATATCGTAATATTGATTAAACGTAAATATAAACGACTGCTTTGCATTTTAAATCGATGGCTGTTGATATGTGCAAAACTCTAAAAAAAGACCACTAATTACCGAAAAGAATATATATATTTTTTTCAGATTTACATAGTCTTGTGATGACCATAGTCTGATAAAGCAACTTGCAAGCAAGAACTTCATTGCTGCATCTGTCACGTGCATCACAAATCAGTTATTTGATATAAAAATTTTTTAATTAATTGTTATATTTATTATATTTTAATACAATTTTAATATAATTACATTAAATTTGTATAATACGTTCAGATATATTTTACAAACCGTATGCTGTTCCAAAGCAAACCTGTTTTATCATCGTCTACACCAACAGCTTGCCTGAGCATCTATCAGAAGTTTTACGTTCTGCGCAGCATAGTAAAGCCGAGAGCACAAGCTTTTACATAAAGCATAACGCATAAGCATAAGGAAATTGATTGGTCTATATATAAGCATAAGCAAATGCATAAGGAAATGGACCAATCAATTTCCTTATGCTTATGCGTTATGCTTTATGCAAAAGTCTGTGCTCCGGCCATAAGCTTCCGGCTTGGTGCGTGCTCGAGACCGCGGAGCCGTGGTTGTAATATTTCGCATCACTGTTCAGAACTCATCCAGCCATCCATGCATTAACATCATTTTACTGCGCACCGCGGAATAATCTACAAACTATTCTGTTACAAGTGCGTGATTCTAACATACATATTGAGTATCTCATCACACAGGTAAGAATATTTTATTCAAAATTATATGTATAATAACCGGAAGCAATAAAAATATTAATTATTACTGTATTAAATTAATATTTTTTTATTTTTTTATATTTTAATATTTATTTATAATTTATTGCGGAATTTTCAAGAAACTATCTTTTAATTTAGCAAATTAACAATTTGCATTTTTTTAAATACTAAATACAACTTATATTTTTATGTCAATATATGAACGCAAACAATATGAAGACAAATGATTATCGCAGTCATAAACGTCTTGATAGCAATTGATAGCGTATTGATAGCCATTAGCATTTTATTATTACAAGGTGATTGCATAGTACTTGTAGAATATTGATTAATAAGAATATATGACGTTAAAATTACACACACCCATTCATCAATTACGATTCTTTTATAAACATGAATCGATATTATTACGTATGTGTGTTATTGATAAGCGAGTGTATTTATGTTGTTTCCACAATTCTTTTTATATTTTACTGCGGAAATGTCACTCATAATCAACGAATAAATATTATGATGCTTTTTAATTATAACATGTGATTAATTTTATTGCTGTATTAAAACACACAGGAACTCGTGTTCAGCGATAATGTGGTACGCAGAGAAGAAACTTATCTGCGTTTTCCTGCTATGCGTTCGGCCGATAGTAATGACAAATTCAATAGAAAATAAAACAGATACATGTCAATTGCCAAATGACTTAATCAAAGAGATAGACTCGTACGCGCCGACAATACAGCGAATAATCAACTTAGCTATACAAGGCTCTTACAAAGGCGTCACATGGCAAGATCTGGCGACTTTTGTTGACAAATTTGGTCCAAGGTTTACCGGTACCCAAGTCCTTGAAAACGCAATCGATTATGTGTTAAACAAATCGATTAGTTTAGGCTTAGAGAACGTTCATGGTGAAACAGTTACCGTACCGCGTTGGATCAGGTATATATGCGTTAAAATAAAACATTAGAAAAATATACACACAGACAACTCGATAAATAAATTATATATAAATATATTATCATAATAATATAAAAATGACCAGAATGATGGTATTGAATTTTTAGAGGTTCGGAATCTGCGACTCTTTTACAACCACGGCAACAAAATCTAGCGTTGTTAGGACTGGGTTACAGCGTTGGTACTCCGGAGGAAGGCATCACAGCTCACGCCGTTGTAGTGAATTCTTTTGCAGAGCTTAAAAAAAGGGCCAAAGAGGTATATTTAATAAATAAAGAGACAATAATGTGATGTACGACTTTACAGCAACAAGAAAAGGCTAGCAGAAAAAAGATTACAAAAATCAAAACGCGGGTATCGGGATGCAAGGAATTTTTATAAAGATAATATTTGATGCAACGATTTTACCCGTATAATCTTTGGATGTATTAGATTCCAGGAAAGATTGTTGTGTACAATCAACAATTTGTTTCGTATGGGGAAACCGTGGAATATAGAAGCGCCGGAGCAACGAGAGCGGCGGAATTGGGCGCCGTGGCCACGCTAATTAGATCGGTAACTCCATATTCATTGTACACTCCGCATACCGGTATGATGAGTTACGGGAAGAACGTGACCAAAATTCCAGCTGCCTGCATAACTGCCGAAGACGCGAGTCTTCTCAAAAGAATGGAAGACCGAGGTAACGGACAAAAAAATTTTTTTTTAAATTATATTCACCAAATAGACATCTAATGTTGTTAATTTTGCAGGAGAATTGATAGTGATAAATCTGAAAATGCAAGCGCAAAACTATCCCGACACACAGTCGCGGAATGTCATAGCGGAAATCACCGGCAGTAATGCGTCTGAAAAGGTAGTTGTTGTTTCTGGACACATAGACAGTTGGGATGTTGGACAAGGCGCAATGGACGACGGAGGTGGCAGTTTTATATCTTGGAACGCGCTGAAGTTATTGAAACAACTTGACATTCGGGCGCGAAGAACAATCAGGTATTCCGAAATTTGTCAAAAATCAAATGTAGATTAATAGTTAAATCAATAATTTTCTCATACGAATACAAGTACTCATTGTGTAATGGATTGTACTTTGACAGAATGATAATGTGGACCGCCGAAGAAATGGGCATCGTCGGAGCTCGTAAATATATACAAAACCACACGGCGGAGAACGACAATCTGCAATTCGTGATGGAATCCGATTTGGGCACATTCGAGCCCGAAGGTCTTGAATTCACTGGAAACGAATTCGTTCAGTGTATACTCGAGAGAATAATGCGGTTAGTCTCATAAATTATACTTTCACATTCCCTCGTCCGTCCGTTCCTTTGTTGCCTTCGTTCCTGCAATCTAAATTTTTGGCTCGAATAAATCTTCGAATTAACATCCTTATTTTCTTCAAAATTTTTAAAAACACTGATTATTTTTCATAAAAAAATTTTTGCATGTTTTTTAGTTTGTTAGCGCCGTTAGGTGACATGAAACTGAGAAATCCCTGCCAAGGACCTGACATAGAAAGCTGGGTGAACGCTGGCGTACCAGGCGGAAGTCTTTGGACGCGTAACAAGAAATATTTTTATTATCATCACACGAACGCGGACACCATGCTGGTGGAAAATCCGAAAGCTCTGGACATGAACACAGCTCTATTTGCAGCTGTGTCGTACGTTCTAGCAGACATCAGTGTCGATCTGCCTCGACACAATCTGACGAACCATATACCTTAATAAAATCAGCTTGATGTGATACATGATACATGCAAAATATAATGACCGCGTGTTTATAGACCGTCTTTATTTCAAATGTGTCTGTATATACAATCGCAGCATATAAACCATTAGGCCTACTGTAATACCTAGTCTAAACTCTTTAAAAGCATCATAGAAATGCACGTGATCATACGAACAAGATTTCACAAATCGTGTTCGATGTGATCTCCCCGTTTAACTCTCTTCCTCTCATTGCGACGATTTTATTTAAAAAATTATCTATTCAAAATGTGCTATTATCAACTACCTCGCAAAAATTCTAAAATTAGTAGAACATGTGTGTGTGTCCTACGAAGTTTCTCACTATTGGGACATATATGCCGCACCATTCACAATTTGCAATAAAGCGAAATAAATAAATTATATTAGTATAAAAACATTGCTTTTGATCGCCGAATCACAACGGGACATATACGTCCCATTAGTCGCGAAAGGGTCGAAAGATGACGGAAATGAAAGTGACCTTGTAATCCTCCACGAAAATTAATTCCGATATTTAAAGGTTATTCCGAGTATTACCGTAAGGCTCTTGATCCTCATTGATCCTATTAAATTATCAGTCTCAATCAAGTAAATGTCAAAGAGTCTCGTGCTTCATATTAACGTATCTTCGTCCTGATTCGGAATGACCATCAGCAGGGAATGCTGAGAGGTCGTTCTCTGGCTCGAAGTTAATAAGGCGGTTTTCTCGCCTCCGCTGCCGTTGATCGAACAATCCGGAGAGCTGCCGTCGAAGGCTATGTAATTGGTCGTCGTGCTGCTCGTGGATGGCATGTCGTTGAGATCCGGCGACGCCAGCGGCGGTGCGTGTGCCGAGCGCGCGTTGGCACCGTCCAAGGACACGAGCTGCATGCTGTACGACTCACGGTATCCTGAGGTGCTGGATGTGTCCTCGTCCCAGGACACGTCCGACGCCTGAGGATACAGATGGTGATGGTGGTGGTGACAGTGATGGTGTTGGTACGCCGCTCCGTGAAATTGCTGCTGGTCGGCAGCTGACATCGCAGCGGAGCTTTTCGGATCTCCGTCGGATTTGCGAAGAGACAGGCTGCGTCTGGAACGAATGGACGAGGAGTCGGATGGGATGTTCGATAACGACGGTTCCACCGCGATCGCCGATGACGTCTGCATCCCTGATTTTGGCTGACTCGTCGTTTCCTCCGGAAGAACTGACTGTTCCGCAGAGCCTGACTGTTCCGGCTTAATTTGAGTCATCTAGAAGATAGTATTTTTGTACATTAGTGCGGATAGATTTCAAGTTTAACACTTCACATAATTGTAAGTCCAAGCATTTTCGATCTTGTGATCTTCTTTCGATGTATCCAATTTTTACTTACGCGTATATCGCAAGCGCTCTTTTTTTAAAGTAAAATCGATATCAACAAAATTTGAAGTTACAAAAGATTGATGGATCATAAATAATGAAATAAATGTTACAGCTGAAAATAAAAACGTTATCCTAATAAATCGAGGAGCTATATGCAAGATTGAGAAACTCTGCAACGTAATAATAAGATATATTAATAAGAAGACAATATTATGTCGATGTACATTTGTCTACTGAGAATTCTATTCTAGTTTGAAATGCTGCAAATATTGCAACTTGAGATCGGAGACGCTAATACATAAATTTTGTCACCTCAATATGACTCTTTCGACTTCTTCTTAAACGGAAAGTCTTCTTGCTTTGACCCATAGAACGTTGTAAGCGAGGCCTGTCGGTGCGTAAGTCTCCGGAACTGTCTTCGGTTGGACTGCTCGGACTTAGCTGGCTGGTCACCGTCTCTCCTGGCGGGACAGTCGACGATCATGTCGCGTCTACCGTCTCATTCATGGATTCTACTCTACGGTCCATCTACTCATGCTCCTCTTTCAGAGTGTATACAGTTCGAGATTGTTTTCGAAGCGCGCAGGAAGTATTTTACACCCGCGTCCTGTGCTCGATGGAACATGGCACTACATCTAGTATAAACATAAGCTCTTACTTCAAAATTATAAATACAGAGTAATAATTAGGATATCATTGAGACTATGCGGCTGTTATTTGGAAAACAAGTGCATACGATTGAAAAAATCAAATAATTTGCAGTGAAAGAAATGTCATTTTTCTTAGCATGCAATATAAAAATTATATAAAATAATTTAATTAAAAATTTTATATTTTAAGAAAAATATAAAAATGATACTGGAGATAAAATGCATAATAAAGAATATCTTTAAAATATTACTTTCTGAAATTAAAGAAAGCGCGCTCGAAACGCTTTTTAAAACGAGATAAAACGTTTCTTGATATTTTTATATCTTTTAGATAAATTAATTAAATAATCAGTGCGAGATTTTTTTATTATCTTTTATTTTTCAAAATAATATTTGTTTCTTTGATGTAATGTTAGAAAAAAATGTAAATTTTTTTTATTAAAAATTAAAATTTATATAATTTTTGTGCTTTAATAAAAATAACAGACTTGTCGTACGCAAAACTGTTTGATGTTTTCAATTCTACGCACTCATTTCTATGTGACAGCCAAATAATTCCAGTAACATCTTAATTGTCACTCTGCATACGCTACTTTTGAATCCGAAGATTCTTAGACGTGTGATTCTCAATAATACAAATCATGTACAAAATTATATATAAAGTGCTTTTCTTCAACAACCGAGAGATAATCTAATCATAACTCTGAAAAGATGTATATACAATATATACAGCTTGATATTTTGCATTTAAATTTGCGAGAAATATCTTCATGCCCGCGTAAATGCACGGATAAATATTAGAAAATTAGGTATATCATTTAGAAATTATTAATATACAGAGTATCTCATTGTAAAGAGTGATGTGAGACATTCTGTACACACAACATGCTATTTTACATGTAAGTTGCATGTGAAAGTTCGGAGCATATCGATATTGCTATACGTTACGCGTACTTATTGCGTGCATGCAAGATTGTATTTATCAAAAAAAAATTATGAAGCAAACTTTTTTTATCCTCACACAATGAAAGCGATAGTGTGAGAACATTGCAAGGCGGTAAAAATTAATTATCTATACGATTACATATATATATATATATATGTGTGTGTTACATGTGTCCGCGCGTTATATAACGACGAACAGAGAGACTTATACAAGAACAATTGCATAAGAAGCGTAAAGCAGTTTCTTGCAAACTCATAGAATTATTTAATTGTGGAAAGAAATAGAAATAGAATTTTCTTTTTAGATCATTCCAAACATATTAATAAATCCCTATGTTCTACAAAAAATATTAAACAATAGGAATGATAGTATTGATTAATGTGAGCATATGTAGTAATCAGGTGTATATTTAGGCACGATAAACGCTAATGTTATTATTTATTAGATAAAATGTGTATAATCTATTTTTATTGTATCTCTTTGACCTACTTAAATTTAATTGTAGTTTGAAAATTTAATAAAAAATTATATATTATTACAATTTTATTTCATGCACAGCAGTTCAGCTATCTTTATTACGGAATGTCTAAACTACAAACTTCAATTTCTATTTATTTTAATTTCTATATAAAAATCTGTTTGATTTTCTAATATATTAGTCAAAAATTATTGTTGTGCAATTTGTGGAGATACGAAATAAATGAGCGATGCAAATAAGATACATAATGAGATAAAAAAATGTTGTCTACAATCTTGCATTTTCCTTAAATTCTTATCCGATATTAATAAAAAAATATATTATGTTTGTACAATATATATATATTGGCAATTACCAATTGACTGCAAAAAATAGATAAATTAAAAGAAGTCATTAGAAATTTATTCAGCAAAAATTATAAAATTCCGACTCTCGTATCTCAAGACAAATATTACATCAGAATGTTTTCAATTTCTGAAATAAGAAACGAAGAACTCAATCTCTGGAGCAAATTTCAGCAAATTTCTTTAATTCATCTATTTTGGCAGTAATATTTATATTTAAATACTATACCGCTATATTATGGTTGAAGGAGGGAAATGGGGGTCTTCCGAATAAGGATATGTCAATAAGTATATCGAGTGTATAAGCTAAAGCAGGGGGATCGGGGATTTACCTGATGAGTTTCTAAACTCTACGGAAGAGACAAAGCGCAGCTTTGGCGCCTTATGGTGAGGTAAGAGAGGATGAAGCTTAACATGGTTACGTTCATCGCTAGTAGAAGATGGTTGGAATCTATCTGAAACATGCCACATCGAACGTCTAGTATGAGGGGAAGGATAACAAGTAAGACAGACCACACCGCGATATAGTAATCACGTCGATATGTTGCTCACGAACGTACATCGTGTCGATGTTGCGCACTTTGAGCCAGAGTTCTCGAAAACATCGATCAATTGTGGTGTATATGATTTTTTATTGTGGTAAACATGATATGCGATCAAGAGTGTAATGCCTTAACGATTCTGTCGTTTTCAGTTTAAAAACGAAGCGAGTTGATTTTGAAATTCTAGTTTGAAAAACTCATGAGTGATTCAGCGGGACCTCATGAGGAATGTTCATTTTCTCGATGTATTTTGAAATTATATGTCGCATGATCCCGGAGATAATGTTATGATGTTACCGCTGTAAATGTAATTTGGCTAAAAGAATCACAAGTAGTAATTGATTGACATATACACGACGTAGTTACGTGGATTTCTCTAAATATCTGTACGATGTTGCTTCGATCAGAGAAATGTATTAAGTATATTTGTGTACATCATGTTACAAAGAGCGATTGCCACAGCAAGCAACAATGAGACAACAAATTTCAACATGTAAGAGATTTCTGCATGAATCTGTCAACATTAAAATTGTATCTTTGCGCTATGAACGCTGAGACGCAAACTGTTGAAACAGAGTATGTATCAGAATTGTCGATCGATGTTGCTGTCGTGCTAAAACGATCAATGACAGTTAATTCTCGTGCTCGCGAGTACAGAGAGAAAGCGATAGAACATCGAAGCAACTACGTAATAGAAAGTGGCTACGCAACGATCAGTAGGATTACCAACTGTTGGACATTACCATTGTCTAAATACTGCTATGTAGTAAGTTCCTTATGATTCTGCGTACAAAATGTGATATAGAGGAGACGATAATAAATATCAGTGTTCTAAGAGAAAACACCGTGAAATGAGATTGCGGCTTCTACGATTCTTTCGAAGAAGCTCATCACATTATTTATTACGGTAATTTCGCTGCGATCTTTTCTTTAATTTTGTGTCATATGACATCAAAATTGATTGATTTTGAGTCATTATTTTATCAATCTCGTTTCACAGTAAAAGTGAATTGAGGAGGCAACAAGAAGTAGACGAAGACCGAGGTGGGCGACGGAAGAAATAGGAAGAGAGCGATCGAGGTATGATCAAAATTACGAAAAAAGTGATAAGCGTGAGAGGGGCACACAACCAGCAGGATATATATCATAGATCGTGTCAGAATTGATTGAGTTGTAGAATTCGGTCCGCTTACCTCCGTTCCCTAGCTAGCAATGGAAGCAACGTAATGATCAATGTGTCAATCATACCGGCGAGTGGGAGAGAGAGAGAAAAAGAGAGAAGCGCGAACGATTTATGCCTTAAAGCGACGCTTTAAATGATATGCGATCAATCGAGGAATCTTTTTCCCGCGCGGGGAATGGCGTCGCTTATACTGTTCGTGACGAGAATTCTCGTTCGCAAACGAAGGGAGAAAACTCTTCAAGTTGCAAGCCTCGCTGTAAAGGGGAATGTAATGAAGACGATGCGATCGTTGTGCAAAACGCGCGAGAACTGCGATCGTGAAGGAAGAAGAGAATCGTCATTGTCGAGAAAGAGAGAAAAAGAGAGAAAAAAAGAAAACGAGAGACTATTGGCAGTGGTCCATAGACAATGGCTCGATCCAACTGTGGTAGCGGTCAGCGATTTCGTACTGACTGCGCGTACGACAGTAATGAAACATATGCGAGAGGCTTGCAGTCGCATCGATCGTAATCGACAAGTTCGGGACCCTCTTTATAGGATTCTCGAAAAAGATGGAATACCTGTCGACGTCGGCGGCGGCTGCGACGGCTGCTCGATGCAGGTCTCGGCGCTCGTTTCGCGCAGGGTGGACGACGTCACGCTGGTGCTCGAGACAGATCCTGAAATTCAGAAATGTCCTAGTACCATCGATATTACCGCGTTTGCGGGGAAGAAGTGGCAGGAATGTGCTCTCATGTAATGCGCATGAAATAGATATTAATGAAGAAAGCGAAGTAAGTTAATGAAAGCAAAAAGAAAAATGTCTCATGTTTGTTAATGCGTACGTTGAATGTTTCAGTTCGACTTATTTTTATGTTTTCACCGAACTGCTTGCTGCAACAGATATTACAATAGCCGCTCTTTTTTTTTTTTTTTTACAATAAAAGAGAAAGAAGTGAAGAGTGTAGTACCACCAATGTGAGTACCGTTCGGCGGTGCTGTTACTTGACTGGGCAGCGTTGATTTAACAGTACTACTCGAGTTGGATTGATGAGTCGAATGAGGCTGTGATTGAGGTGCTGTGGAATGAGACACCGGAGTCTCAGCGGGCGTACGATTTGCGTGTGCTCTGGATCCCAGATCGCCGGTCAGAAGATCCATCAGCAAAGACGGCCTTTGCGTGCGTGGTTGACTCTCGGATATCGGATGCATATCTACCACGCTTCTCTTAGGTTCCGGTTGCATTTCGTCTGTATATTAAAATTGCAAAAAAAAAATTAATCAGAAAACATTCAATTAAGATAAACCATCTCAATCAGTTTTAATTTTGAAAATAATTTTGAATGAATACAATAATAAAAAAATTAATTATTTCTTTGTTTAAATACAATTGTTGACTAAGTTATTTCGCACTGCGTTCGAGATGCTCACCGAATCTTCGGTCTTCGATCTCCTCCTTCAGATTCTTCAGCTCATGAATGAGATCCATCAGCAGCGCGCCTCGAGATTTCGGCACGGTAATGCTTCGCCCGCTGATCTTTTCGCGTATGATCGTATGCATGTTTCGTTCGTGCTCGGATATCGGCGCCTGCCCGATTTTATGAACGATAAACGGTAGCATCTGAATGTACAAGGCCGTGCGGTGCGTCACTACGAATTCTATGAAATTCCAGAGATATATGGAAGCTTCGTTGCGCTTGTTTAGAAGACGCATTGTGCGTAAAATTTTCGGCCATTCCGTTTTCAGCTCAGCTTCGAAGCATATCGTCATTATTTTCAGCGCTGAAAGTAAACAATCAGGTGTCAAGCGTCGGAAGTCAATGTTAAAATTATTTTTTATTTATTCTTTAGCTTTTGTCAAAATTCGCTCAAATATCTCCGACGTAAATCTTACCTAGAAACGCGACCTGATACAACGTTAACGATATTTTCGTCAAGGTCTTCGGATCTCTCGCGGCAAACGTTAGACTACCGGTCCTTATATCCGTTGGTGGTTTTTGCACTGTCATCGGTACCGCTTTAACTCCCGGCGGCCAAAGTGTGTTTAGTACTGCCGTTAGGGCGAAACTGATGTCCGAGTGTCTCAACTTCGACACATCTGAAAATATCAATTCAAAGTTAACACGAGCAATTCATAATGTATGCGATGCAGTTATACCTTTTCTCCCAGTTCCAATGCGCAGAAACAATGGTATTAGCAAATTTAGAAGCGTATTCTCCGTGCGAGTCTGAGTAGCGAACATATTCTGACCACCAAGAACGTTCTCCAAAGAGTATCCCTCGCCGAAGGATATCACGTGCAACGCAATCAGACGTAACACTGTCGAGCAGAAGTGCGGTGGTGGTATTTTGCTCATTAAAGCGGCTGCCGAAGCCGAAGTTACGTCCTCGGGCGGAGTATCGCCAACGATCAAAGCCTGGAGATTTGATGAAAGTTAAAACTGATTAAATTAAAGCAAGAAAGCAAATCTGACGAGAATAATGATTTCAGTATCTACCTGACAAGTGCTCAGCAATGTCTTCAAATACTGAAAGTGCGCAATATATGGACATCTCGATAGAGTCTCGTAAATCCCTTTCAAGAGATCGCCGGCGGCAGCCCAATCAGTATTCCTTCTGATCGATGCTTTCTTGTGTATTTTGCTGAATGTCTTGTCTAATCTTCGGAGAATAAGTGTCAACGCCGGTCTCATGTCGTCGGCCGCCCATTCGGTCGATGGGAGGATATCGTTCATATATCTTCTCAGACCGCGGCAAGCCATAGTGGTCGGATCATACGGCGAAATTTTCAGAAGACTGTGAGCGATTTCGGCTAGACGCTAAACGGAAAATGACGATTATTATGTATGGATTTCGTTACTTAATATCTCTATATTTAGAATACAAGATTTACACATTATTTTCTAGCAAAAATGTAAGTAATAAAAATAAAATGTGTGTAAGAATTTCTATTTTATTAACAATAAAAATAAATATTAAAAAATCAGGTGAATTATATAGATTGCGAAAAAACTCGTTTATCCTAATTAATTATTGAATTTTTAAAAAGTTTTAGATACTTATTAAATTGCGTATAATAAAACTGAATTCTATAAACGCGCACTTACCACATGACATTTTGAATCCAACAATTCAATGTTTTTTCCGTCCGGAGACTTTCTGTTGAGTTCTATTAAACGAGCGGAACAACGAGTCACGAAATCTCCAACCATGTTTAATAAAGTGTCGCGCGGCCTTCTAAATTCGTTCTTATGGAAACTCTCACTATCCTCGTCTCGATCGTAAAAAATCCGCATCTTCGAGTGTTCCATGTATTTCGTCGTGTGCGCCTCGTCCTCGAAATCGAAACCCGGCGAGTACGGACCCTTGCCATAATTTCTCTGACTAGAGCCTTTATGCTCAGGACTAGATTTTTGTGGGCCATTATAATATCTGCAAAAATAAATAAAAAGTTGACATTATTGAACAATATAAAAGAAAAAGCGGACTATTCGGATAAAAAGAATAAAAAATTTAATACATACTTTGTCAGCGCTTCAGAATTGTTAACTAACGTCTTTACAGCAATGGCCAATTGATTTATTATCTCCTTCTCTGTTTTCTCTCCTTTGTTGTATGTGGGTAATTGAATCTGCTGAACATAACACGGCAGTATTGCTTCCAGTATTATCTGTAACATAAAATACAATGTTTTATATAAATGCCAGATAAAGGAATTTAACGATATAATAAAAAAAAAGCACATCATATGAGAATCGCTTACCAACATCTGCTGTCCTCTGATAGAGTCAGGCGCGTAAGCGATCACCATTACGCAAAGAGATATACAATCAAGCACGTTAACCATTTCTTCCTCGTCGTGATAACAGAAGTCTATCGCTTTCAACGGTTTCTCTTCCTTCACTAACTCCCCTATATTCAGTGGATCCGGCGATGGAGTTTCCAAACTTAGTAACAAATTGAACAGGCACGTAGAGGGAACCTTAAAAAATCAAACAATTATTTTAAAGAAATATTAAGAATATGAAAGTTCTCTTGCAAGTTTACAAAATTAAAGAAAAATTTTAAATATATTTAACTGCTCTTTACAGATTCTTGCATAAAATATAATATAATGTATATAATTTTGTCAACATGGATTTAATTTAATTCAATTTAATTGACTAAATGCAATTAGAAAAAAACAAACCTTGTGAGCCTCGCCGTGAACGCTTATTGTATCCGTATCCAATATAGTCGACACGCTACCGAACATCTGAAGAATAAAGGGTTTACGATTCATCAGATAAAACTGCTTGACTGCGTACTCGACAGTAGTCGTTACGAGCTTGTTTGTTTGGTGTGTCGAATATAATTGCAATAACGTTGGCATAATCAACAGATAACCGTTTGTCGAGAAAATGTTTTTGAAATTGTGCGCTCCGTTTATATAAGTTGCTACGACGTAGCGCAAAATACAGGAATCCTCGCTGTGAAGGATTAAGGCGCCATTCAAGACGTTCAGAAAGAGATGAATGTCGCCGGAATACGCAAAATTACCGGCCATGGCTTCAAACATACGCGCGATTAATCTGACCCACATAAATTTGTGCATCACATCCAACCCAAGAAGCTCCTGAAATCGAAAAAAGAATTTTAATTCTTCCCAATTTTATGATCAACACATCACATTTTTATAGATATTTATTTATTTGCATTAAAAATAAAAAGAATTGAAAGTTTTTTAATGATTACAGGCTAAAAAAGTTAAAAATAATGTTTAGGTATTTTTTCATTACGCAATTTTTTGCGTAAAATATATAATAAGTAATATAATTTGATACATACTCTTCCAATTTCGCCACCTTTGTACAAATCCAAATCTGCTTCTAGCGCTTTTCGCGGGAATGACGGTAGCTTCATAAGTTCTTCATGAAGAAATACTACCCTTTGCACTACCATATCGACATTTTTCAAGATTGCCCAGGTCAACAGCACTTTTCCTATCTCTACAAATTTGTGCACCAATTCCTGCCGCTGTAACGCATTGAACGCATCCTCCGGCTTCATGTGAACAAGCTCGATTTGTGGGAATTGAGATCTCTTAAAGAAATAGTAATCTCTAACGTACGACGATGGATTGTGTATTTGATCTGAAAGTCGACAGGAAGCCACTTTAATTTAAAAGTTTTCAATAAAAGACAATAAGATAAAAAATTACTGCATGTAGAAAATACTGACGTGTCTTATAATCTACGAGAAAGTACTCGTGATGTTTCGTTTCATCGACACCGAAAAAATCCAAGGATTCTCTAAGTATCTGACAAAATTGCGTGTCCTCTTGCACCGGAAACTGCGAGGGTATTTCACCGGCGTCCGGATCCTGCGGGCCGTGAACAATAATCTTTTTCGCCGACGGAACGTTCGCGGTGAGTAGAATAGACGCATCACATTGCTCTTTGCGCAGAATTTGTTTCAGGTCTTTAAACATAATGCCGTGTACACTGTGCACCACCTAAGATAATATAAAAATTATATTATAATGAAAAGTTAGAAAAAAAATATATATATATGTATAGTTTACCATCCACAAAATAGACAGTGCGGTTCCAATCAGCTTCTGACCCTCTTCGTGCGGAGTACGAACGTAAAACATGACATAACCAATGATATAATTATACAGCGCGAACGCAGCCTGCTGCGGTAATTTAGGCACAAATCTGATAAGGTGCCTTAAAATCCTGAACATTAATTCCTGCTTTTCTCTCGTAAGACGTTCCAACACATAACGCAGAAACAAAGCGCTATCTTCCACCAAGCAACTCCAAGTCACCTAATACGAAACGCAAAAGAGATTAATAATGTCAAATAAGTAAAAATATGTGCAGTTTACTTAAATTAATTTTCAAAATTATTCCCACAGTTGAATTTATTTTGAATACCTGGTACGCCACTTCATATACGGCGTTTCCATCGTCGGAGACTGCTGGATCGTCTAGGAGATTAATAATTTGAATGATCGCTGAACATAATGACGAAGGAAACAACGAGAGAGCTGACTGACCGTGATGTGACATATTCCTCGGGATTGTGTCACCTGCATCCTCATCTGCCACATTACCTATATTTTTTAAAAATATTACCAAGAAAAAAAAACCAATATATTGACATTCACAAAAAAGAATTGATGATCGCTGAACATAATGACGAAGGAAACAACGAGAGAGCTGACTGACCGTGATGTGACATATTCCTCGGGATTGTGTCACCTGCATCCTCATCTGCCACATTACCTATATTTTTTAAGAATTGATTACAAAACGTACCTTCATCATGATCATCTCCGGCTGGGCTAGGCTCATAAGCAGCCTGGACGGTGATCGGTATCGTTGTAATCAAAAAGTTTTCTCTTTCCTCTCGCTTCTTATCATCTTGCGCCTGAAGGGCTTTCTTGATCAATTCCGTTTGCTGCTTCTTTCGCGTCTTTGTCGCGGTCACCAAAGATCTCTGAAAAGCGAAGCAAATATTACGAATATGTCATAGATTAAAAATCTTCTCTCTACTCGTAAAAAATCTTTTAAAAAGGCATATTATCAATATCTCGATAGTATCAAAGTTGCCGCTTTTCTGCAATGCCAATTGGTTTTTTCATTGTGCTCATTGTCAGTTAATATCGTGAGTGATTGTTACTGCGAAGATTTTGACAGTTCGTATGTTAAAAAAAAGTTAAGAGCATTTTATTTTTTTATATATATCACAAGAACCATCTAGAGTTACATTTTTGATTTTAATTAATTGATCTTAAATGCCGAATTAAAAAAATTAATAATTTATGTTAACTAATTATACGCATTTTGCGCTATAAACCTCGTATCTATGCATGCGTACCGATTATAGGTTTTTACTAATTTGTGATACTGATTTTTATTGCTTAGAATTGAAATCTTATACACTACTCTACAAAAAATAAGGAACACTTTTTAAACGCTCAAAATCGAACAATTCTCAAACCATTGAAACTTATCAAAGAATTATCGTAGACAAAAAACTAAAAAACCATTTTAAAACTTGAAACTTGTACTTTCGCGTGTTTTATAGTTTTCTAAAAATTTTTTATTTTTATACTTTTGAGCTCGAAGAAAGAACACATTATATTATCGTCAATAAAAAAATTTTTCTTGTAGAATTTATGACATGTGTCAAAAATACACATCTATAAAAAAAACGCGTGTTTTTAAATTTTACTATGATTTTTTTTACCGAGTTACGTGACTTCAAAACCAACCATATTCTGTGAAAAATAACATTTACTATTGACAATAGTATTAGCGTAAAAAATACAAATTTAGTTCAAAGTCGTGTAACTCGACCAAAAGAAATCATAGTAAAATTAAGGCTCCTGGTCCCGCAGCCGTGAACTCCGCGTTGACAGTAGCGACATAATTGTGGTAGGAATAAAAACCTAGTCGAATTTACCCAGTCGATTTATCGTATAAATAAATAGTGTAACAGTTTGACCTAATCAATTGATTCGATAAAAGTAAATTACTGAATAACATACAAAATGTTAATTTATAATTTAAAAATTTGTTTACAAAAAAATAAACGCGATAAATACAGAATATATATAGCTTAGTACCGTTACCGACATGTCCATATGACAGAAATTCTTATGCAGCGTCTTAGGTGGAGAATCGATGAACTATTAGGCGTGAAAAAATGACATGTTGACTACCCAATTTATTCTTGCGTGCCATTTCATTAATATTCGTTAAATGTTAGTACTGTGATATGTGACGTGTTCATGAAACCTGTAAAATTATCCGAAAACTAAGATTAGCAGGGAAAGCCCAACGTAGAAGGAGAATTTTCTACTCATACAGACAGCTGTCAACCGTGTGTTTTCTCGCATAATTAGGCTTCGTTTCACTGTTGATTTAACGATTGTTTATAACCTGTCAAGGAAAAAGCATAGTTTTCGGACAATTTTACAGGTGTCTTAAAGCGATCCAGAGTGTTACTTTGTTAAATTATCATTTTATTTAGAAATGGCACGCAAGAATTCTCGGCGTGTCATTTCTCGCTTCTGACGTCACGAATCTAATATGGCTGCGGTGACTACCCAGGAGCCTTAAAAAAAGCAGTTTGTAGGTAAAATGTTGTAGTTTTTGACATTTGTCATAAATTTTACGAGAAAAATTTTTTTATCAAGTTACAGAATGTCGAACGTAATTTTAAGAACAAAACAAATTCTTTTTTCTAAGCTTAGAAGTGTAAAGATAACAAATTTTCAATAAATGATCTAAAGCACATAATAATATGGCTCCTGGGTAGTCCACCGCAGCCATATTAGATTCGTGACGTCAGAAGCGAGAAATGACACGCCGAGAATTCTTGCGTGCCATTTCTAAATAAAATGATAATTTAACAAAGTAACACTCTGGATCGCTTTAAGACACCTGTAAAATTGTCCGAAAACTATGCTTTTTCCTTGACAGGTTATAAACAATCGTTAAATCAACCGTGAAACGAAGCCTAATTATGCGAGGAAATACACGGTTGACAGCTGTTTGTATGAGTAGAAAATACTCCTTCTACGTTGGGCTTTCCCTGCTAATCTTAGTTTTCGGATAATTTTACAGGTTTTATGAACACGTCACATATCACAGCACTAACATTTAACGAATATTAACAAAATGGCACAATAAATTGGGTAGTCAACATGTCATTTTTTCACGCCTAATAGTTCATCGGCGAATCAATTGATTAGGTCAAACTGTTACATTATTTACTTATACGATAAATCGACTGGGTAAATTCGACTGGGTTTTTATTCCTACCACAATTATGTCGCCACTGTCAACGCGGAGTTCACGGCTACGGGACCAAAAGCCTTAAAATACTTTTTCAATTTTTCGTCTACGATAATTTTTCGCCGACTTTTAATTATTTGAAAACTGCTCGATTTTGAGCGTTTAAAAAGAGTTGCTCATTTTTTTGTGGACTAGTGTATATACTTACGAAATTACTTACATGGTGTTCTTGATTGATAGTGACCTCCTCCACCTTGGTCTTGACCTGGGGCATCCAAGGCGGATCCACCACTGGCAAAGACTCTATTCCGATCTTTGGTGACGGTAGAGTAAATTCTATTCCCGGCGGAGGCACTTTGAACGTGAGATGAGCCGCTTCTTCCATCCGCGGCCACACTTGGTATCGCAATTTCCACAGGATTTGAAATCGCAAAATGGCATTAATCCGCACAGTGGTGTTACTGTGCTGAAGACCCTTGTGCATCAAATCGCTGGCCTGATTTGGCGCTTTCACGGCTGATATTATGAAAAGCGCCGCAGCGGACGCAGCGACTTCCTGGTTGGACTCCAACAAAAGCTCCCACGCGACAGGTAACACTTCCACGAACAAATCTTCGGGCATGATAACTGCGCCTTTGATTAAAGTGGCCAGAGGCGCATGAAAAGCGTCCTTCACTTGAGTTTTAATGTATTTCAGAATTGCTGGTGTTTCTTTGGTCTCGTCAGCGTCAGCACCGTGCTTCACTGTGATTTTCTTCGAGCCTCTTTCGGAATCTTGTTCTGCGAGATCTTTCGAGGAATCTCTTTGAGTTAATCTTCCAGATTGAGAACCGTCCTGATTTTTCTCTATTCTGTATAAACATATTAAATAAATTAGTGACATACATAATTTTAGAAAGAGCAATAATTTTGGAGGGGACTGCTGATTTTTAGAAAATTATATCATAATAATAATATTTAATTAATCAAGAATATTTTTTCAATCGCGACTGTTTATTAAATACTTAACAAAATAAATATTTATTTAAATAATAAATAATTTAACACAAGAAAACTAAAATATGCGAATTCGGAATATAAAAATTCGGAATTACTTGTACTTGTACATGCTATCTTTTCTTTGGACAAGTGACACTTACGTGCTAGTTTGGTCGGACACTTTGCGGCTACGTTTATCCTTTTTGCTGTCATCCTTTTTGTCCGTGTCGATGTCCAGTAAACCCGAGCTGTTTAGAGAGCCAAATTCCTCGCCGTAGATCTTTCTCACAGACTTTATCAGTCTGCTGCTAGCGCGCATCTGTCGTCGATGACAAAAGGGATGGCAGAAATTTCGGTGGGAACAATAGAAGTTGAAAGAGTTGGCGAAATGCACCAACACTTTCATCCACGGAAAATTCTTGTTGGTCTCGTCATTTTCGTTGCTGTCGCTCGGACTCTCCGGCGGCTGATCGTCGCTGAGAATACCTGGCGACTCCTCGCCGCTTACCTCGCCGCAAACACCGGGCTCCGATGTGTCGCTTCTGTCAGAAAGCGAGCTCACTTTCCTCTTGGATTGAATCGAGTCTGTGCGTTTTACAGTAACTGTAAATAAAATGCCGCTATCACTAACGTTGTTCAATATAATAATTGATATAAATAATATTGTTATTGCAAAGCTAATTAATAATTAAAATAAATACTGTAATGCTGTCAATTTATTAAATGTGAAAAATTTATTTGCGAGTGAGATTTGTTAATTTTCACGGAAACATTAATAATGTTATATTATTCTTGATTTATTAGAATTTTACTCACATGCTTCGCACTCTGTGTCTTTGCCCTCTTTAGTGTTGCGACGAAGTTTAAGGCTTCTCTTTTTAAACGAGCCAGTTGTAGGTGCTGCGGTGCTGCGACGAAGGAGGAATGGTCTACCTGGTGGCGCCGGTACCCTCTTCGCCTTTTCCTTTTCGACGTTCTGCTCTTCTCCTTGGATCGTGACCGTCGATTTGCTGCTTCCCTCGGATTCGTTATCAGGTTCGTAGAGAACAAAACTGATTTTACGCTCCGCTGAAATTAATTTATGCATAGTCGATTTAAATAATTCAAACATCGCATACAATAATTTTTTTATATTATTATATAATGCTCCATTTTATATATTTTTGCACCAACCGACAACTTCGCGATCACCGGTTATAGATTGAAGACTTTGCGCGGATGCTTGTGAATGGCCCATCGACGACAAAGCTACACTCCACCGTCGGTTTGCCTCTCGACTGTACATTCTTTCCCAAGGAGGAGGACGTTCCTTTGTTAACAATTTACTCGACTTCGGCAAAGTTTGATAAGTCTCTCGCAGAAACGCTGTCACCTCCAGCAGTAAAATGCAAGCGACGAGACGCAACGCAAAGGGACACTGAGATCCGTAACTATTTATGCTAGCTAAAAGTTATAAAATTTTAATGACATTTCACTTAATTAGTGAAACAATCTCCCGACATTTTGCACAAGAGAATTACAAGAGAATTACCGTCATCGAGAAAATCTTCCTCTTCGTCTTCTAAAACTAAATCTCTCTGTTTGCTCTCGTCGGACATTGTGCTGTTGATCTGCTCCATATTTTGCTTATCCTCAGCTAAGAACTCTTCCAAGCGCGCTCCTATAGCCTATTTCAATGACAACACCTCATACTTTATTGCGTTAAAAATTCTTTTAATAAAAAAAAAGCTTATCCGATTAAAACAGTGATAATTCAAAATAAAACTAATATATACCTCTGCCCATTGATAAAACAACTTTCCCGCGGTACGTTGTAGTATATGAACGCGCCTAAGCGCGGTGGAGGCATTTCGATTATTTATAGGCACAGACGGTCGAAACATGGGAAAGTTGTGCTTCATCCACGTGGGCCAGTGGCCTTTATTGCATTGGTGCACCAAATTCGCGCATTCCAGTATCAGGCAAGCGCGAGATACTATTGGCGCGTACGGCTAGAATTATATTATTAGATATTTCTCTGTGGTCTATCGAGACATACACAAGAAAAAATGTTAGAATAATCATTACAAGGTCCAAGAGAGATGCCATTAGATGAGGATCGGGAACGGAGCCTGGTTGACATGTCTCTAAGAGGAAAGAAAATCGTAACATCCCATCCAACACCGCAGTGCGGGGCACCAATCTCCTTTCCTTCAATACGACAAATTCAGATTCCCTGCAAGTCTCTCCGAGCTCCAGTGAATTCCTCCGACTGAAATCTAATCAGAGTGTGCATAATACTTTAACGGAGAGAAAACATTATTTAATTTAAATACAGAGTGCTGTCTGCAGAGATAATCAATTTATATAAAGCGAAAGTGCGAGTTTATTTTCTTACAACTTCCAGGCGTCTCCTCCATGCTTTCTTTCTTTTTGCTCTTTCCAAAGCCGATTTTATTCAACTGATCCTCCATCCGGCGCTTCGCTTTCTGCAGTGTTATGCCAACTCTGCAAACAAATCGCGTGTAATTTAATTTAATTTAATTTAATTTCTCATTAAAATAAAAAAAAGTAGATGCAGTAGCGAACGAGTGTTTTAAATAGACATCTCACCCGCGTGATCGCGACGCGCTGCGATGAAGATAATGACAGCTGGGTTGTCTAACAAAGCTGCCGTCTGTGGGTGACTCGCTACTTTCATGGCTATCGGTAGAATCGGTTCGGCTGTAATCCTTCCGGAACCAATTAACTAAAATCAGAACGGTTTAGCATAATGGCTCACAGTTCGCCGCAAATGATACGTGCAATTCTCGCCGCTACTGCTCACCGATCCCGCCGATCTGAAACCGAGTCGACTTCCGCATCCCGATCTTTCCCGATCCCAGAGAAGACTCACCGATACCTAAATTGCGCTCGCTCTGCCTGGGCGTCAGCACGTGATGCTTCTTGCGCAGATTACCTAACGGGCTTTGACTAGTTTTTGTGTTCTCCTCGCTTAACTCCGTTTCGAGAAGACTCTGCAAATTCGATCCCGCCTACCCAATAAATACTTTTAATGATATACAGAATAACACCGATAATCGTGATTGTTGTATAATTATCATCATTATTTCTATTTACAGGACAGGTGGACGATGTGCTCCGCTTTTTGAAAAGGAACTTCCGCGTACCCCGGTCGTCGATGTAACACGTGTCTCCGCCGATATCCGCGTGTTCCTCGAAATCCGATTGAAGAATATGTCTGTGAAATTAAATGGAAAAATGTTCAATCAAGTATACGCGAGTATATGAGTTTGTGAAATGCGTACACTTGCTCTGCAGCAAATTACAAATAAAATGACGTTTCAATAATTATTGAAAAAGTATTAAAACACATTAAATGTATCTTTATGCATTTACAAACCTTATTACACGTGTCGTCTGCACGTTGCTGTTACACCGTTTATTCGGCCGATCCGCGGAGTCCAGGATGCCGCTGAGGGTGACGCGTCGGAAAATGCCACCGTGCGCCTCCTTGACGTACGTCATCAACTGCCGCACGTCGCAGTAGAGGCCGATGTTCTCCTGCGCCTTCAGCTGCTTCATGCAACCGGCGAGACGCGTGACCAAGACCTTGAAAACACAACCCATAATCTGCCCCTCGATCCCGCGCGACCCGTAACCGCCGGTGTTGTATGCCGCCGAGACGCCGCTCACGTTTCCACTGGTGCCGCCCGTGCCCGAAGTACAGGCGCCGAAATTCGTCGCGTATGCACTCGCGGTCGTTGCGTCGGGTGACTTGCTCGATATTCGTTTCTGATCTAGAAAAGAGCCAAGGAAAACGAAAAATTAATACGAGAAAAAAGTTTACGTTAATAGATAAGTTATAAAAAATTCTTTATTTTCTTGAGAACAGAGTTATTTATGGATTAATAGATAAATTCTTTGTCATAATAAAGGAGTTGCGTTTCATTTACTTACTAAGCGGCGATAATAATGAACTTGGATCGACGCAGAATCCAACGTACGCGTGAAAAAAGTCCAAGATTTCTAGCAGAGGCTGATCTCGCATCATCGTTTTAAAAAATCGCGAGAACTGACGAGAGCTCGCGCGATGCAGTTTCGTCAGGATGGTCTGAGCCTGTGAGCGACAAATGTCGGCCTGCGGCCCGCGCACCCCGTCCACGCAACCGTGCGGACAACCTAGATGCTTCAATACTCTAATTACGCAATTCATAATGAGATTGTGCGCGGTCGGTTTGCCCTTTCCGTTCGAATCGTGCCTGCGTTCTTGCTGATTTATTCCTGTCGGCGAATCCTGCTTCTTTCCGGTTTCCGATTTATTGTCGATTCCTGTACCAGATCCTACACGAAAAATGAAAATTGCCCCTGATTAAACACTGTTTCATTCTTGTTATAAAAAAATGTAAGAGAAAAAATTATTTAAAATGCAGAATTGTTGTTGAAAAGTATTTCATTACATTTTGAATAACAAAATAAAGCAACAAAAATACGGAGAATAGTCTGATTTGATTGCCTGCATTACTGCCGATGGCTTCTTCCCGAAGACAATGCCTCATCACTCCCATGTCCATCAGGAGTTCTAGTAAATTCAAAATAATCTCGCAGACTCGTGGTGTGCAAGAGGTGTTATCTCGCAAAACAACGGAGTGTATTGCCTAAAGAAAAAAAAAGCGCATATAATCGAATAAATGCGTACGTAACAATATAAAATTAAAAAATCTGATCGTAACTTGTACTTACCCTTAAAACTACTTGAAGATCAACATCGCCTTCTTTAGTGATGTAACATGCGGAGCCCGGAGCTTCCGGCACCTCATCACTCATATAAGTAATGTTAGAATCCGTTTGTGACCTCGTAAGACTGGGTTTCCTCTCAGAACACAAACGTCCGCCGCCTTGGACACTAATGGCATCTAGCTGACTGTCGATGGATCCCTGAAGAAGCAATAATCACAGATGTCTCGAGAAACTGATTAATATTTTAAATAGATTAAATAGATTTAAAAAATTGCAAACATTTTTATAGCGTACACCATTATCATTTAATTTTACCTTAGAGAATCGCAAGTTTCTTACCTGCCGCTTCATATAATCGGGTGATGGAGTTGGTGTATGTTCCGTGACGGTGATGATAGGATTTGGTGCGGTGTAAGATTGGCTATAAAATCGGCTCTGCTTTCTCTCGATGCGAGTGTCGCCCATGTACCTATAAAACAGCGTAGATCAGAAAGACAATTTGATAGAGTGCCATTAAAGATCCTCATGCCATTTGCCAATGTAAGAGCCCTAATCAAGCACTACGCTTTTATCGTTATGATCTCGATCTACGATCGTGCGCCTGTCATTCCGTCAATACATGCTTAATGATTTTTAACGATTTTTCGTATCAACGTTGCCCAATATATTGACGATTACCAATTTCACAAATTAAAAATTAATACATAATTAATATAAAAAATATTTTCTAAAAAACTTCAGATAAAAAATTTAGATTTTAGTCGTCAAAAATTAAATATTATTCTAATTTATATTGATAATATTATAATTTATATTTGCACAAATATTTATTTAAAATTGATAAAATTTTTATGTAAAAAATGCATCCTTAGTTTATTATTGGTAACAAAACTTTTAAAAATACTGAACTATTACACAATTAAATGTTAATTTAATTGATTTGAATCAATTCAACATTATATTTTATTTCTAAATTAAAAAACAAAAAATATATCTTTATTACAGACTTTAAATTAGTGAAGGGCAACGTCATTTCAACTTTTTATCATTTATATCATTATACAACATGCATAAATTTGCGAAATGCGGCGACGAATTCTACAATGTACGTAATTTTTTTTTATTATTTATATAATAAATGGGAAAATCTATGATGGAATATAAAGCAATATATAGATTAAAAAAGCAATACTAGAGGGAATGTATTAACTTTAGTTATGATTTTTAATCAGTGCATGATATAATTATAATTGAGTGTAGCGTACAATACGTATGGTCGACTATCATAAATAATGAAATTAGAATCAATATGTCAAAAACGAAAAAAATTTAAATTCTGGATAATCTTAATAAGTGAATTGTTAAATAATTTTATTCAAAAAACAATAATTATTTAAAATCTGACGTTTAAGATCGAGATACATTAATGTAAAAGTTAGAAAATTATCCTTTCACATGTGTAAATAAATTATAGCAGCAGAAACTTTCCTGCACAACAGGATCAATAAAATACAAATGATCAAAAAATGAAATCACATGTTAATATAACTGAAAACAGAAGCAATTGTTAACAAAGTATTGTAAAAAGGATTGGCCGATGATGTGCCTCATGTGCCTTCATGGATTATTGAGGTGCCGATGCGACTGAATCTCGGTGTGTATTTAAGGGGAGGGTAAATGTGCGCCCTACCGAAAGCAGGAAGCTCGTAAAAGAAGCGTGTGAACCGAGCTGCAGTACGGAACTTCCTCCGAGTGACGTTGATGACTTACCCTCCCGCGGTCAGCTCGTTAATCAAGCAGCTGAGCACGAGTTCGGGGTGAAAGGGCGAACGAGAGAGAGAAAAGAGACACACACAGAGAAAGACCATTACGCATAAGTATTACGATAAGGCTTATCAATAGTTAAGCGTTGGATTAATTGTTATGGTCGGACCATATATCAGGCCAATTGGGTCTAACGTTTAATAAGTATAAATTGTTTTAAGTAAACAATTATTTCTACTTTAACAGAGAAACATCAAATCACATTTAATCCTAAGAAGTTTGCTATAAAGCGAGAAAAATAGCGACATAGATTGTATTGCACACCCAATTTATGGTCGGAAACATCATTAAGCTCATCAGTGTTGGGTTGTAGACAGAAATTATTTTTTATCAAGTTCTGTATTTAATTTTGTATTAAATTCAATTTTGAATTTAATTATATATTTAACAAAAATATATTTTCTAAATACATAATTCTGTATTTAACAAATATAAAACTGCAATCAGAAATTGGGAACATGCTCAAAATCTGTTTACTATGATATTGAATCATAAAAATATCGTGAAGTTTATTTGTATACAACCCAATAATGATCATTCTCGTTTTATACCCGTTCTATACCCGTAAGAAATTCTTGCTCTAAGAAAACGTTCATTTGTTATTGCGTACAACCTAAGCACAACTAGCTATGGTTCCTCCTGGCTATAATTGTTATTAATTAAGATATAGATGTGATAATTTTTTTAGCTTCTTAAACTAGCCTACGGAAAAGCGTTCGCGCGTAAATAAGCGCCGTAAATACATTTGTTTTTTAAGCTTATTCGAGAATTTCAATCAAGCAAAACTATGCTCATCTGCAATGAATTAAAAAAGCATAATAATACGAATTATAGAAATGTTGAAAAAAGAGAATAATAGAATAGAAATTGGAATCATTAAGTCTAATAATAGATCGTCATGAAAATGCGCGTATCCACGTGCGAACGAAGAAGACAAAAGTTAGAGAAAAAAATCATATAAAGTAAAAATTCTCTACTGCTATTTTCTTTTAGCAACGCCTACCTTAAACTTGGCATACTCTTCCCTTTGATCAGGTTCGTAGGATGCTTTATGTGATCAACGTCCTTCGCTTCAAAAATCTTTGAACTAGTAGACGTTGGTCTCGTGACGTTGGTCAGATGATCGTCTCCGGTATCGAGACTTCTGTGACATTCCTAGAAATAAATGTTATAGATCCACTCTTAAAAAAGGCATGAAAGATCGATACTCGAATGTATCGAAAGTATTGTTGACGCTTTTCCGCGACGCTGATTGGTTGTCGCGATTATTCTGATAGTTTAATAGATTGAGAGCAAAGGTTATTTTGACGGTTATTTAAAATAAAAAAAATTGATTAAAATATTTAGATTTCATAATTATTAAATTACTATAATAAGTGCGCGCGCGTAGCGTGCGTCTGTATTGTTCTAGTAAATATATAAAATACATAATAATATTATTATATTAGCTAATAAAACCACAAAAAAAATCGTAACTCATTATTTTTTTATCATTACGTTCAAGCAGTCAAAGCACTCGCTAACCTGCTCAAATAACATCTTAGGTTCATCCTGCCCAATTTTCTCAAGCGCCTTCTCCGACTTCGAAAGCAGTTTTGTCTCCACGAAAGCCTTAAGATCAGCCATCTTCATACGCTTTTTCGACTTCTCGCTGGCGCGTCTCGTATGGCTTGAATCGCCTTCGTGGCCTGTAGATGTTTCTGAAAATGTAACCAATGTGAGACACAGAAAAAGAGGAAGAAATTCGGAAATTAGAATAAATACATACCGGTCAGCAGAGAAACATCGCGCGTGTCGGGCACCTCTATAAAGTCCTTCAATACATCCTTCTTCTTGCTCTCGGGACTTTGATAAATCGAGATCTCAATTTTCGGTATGGGCAGAGAGTTGCTACGACGACGCGGCATTTGTTGCACCGAACTTTCCTCGTTAATTCTTCGCAGTCTGCAGCATATTGTAAAAGAAATAAATTTAACAATGTTTAATTAACATTTAATTAACCAATTTAATGTTTAACCCGAGAAAAAATGGTATAATTGGTCAGATGTAAATATATACAATTAATTATGAAAAGATCTGAATTTTATATGATCATATAAATTACATATGTTATTAGATTTTTTCATAACTAATTATATATATTTACATCTGACCAAATTACACCATTTTTTCTCGGGAAGGTTTATTTTAAAATAATGTATTAAATTTTAACGAAATAGCATTAATTCTAATTGCATGAAACAACTAACCGGTGATACAAGAATTGAAGAGCCCAAAATACACCTTCTTCCTGCCATTGAGTCACAAATAGACATCTCAATGTAGCTACATCCAGAAATGTTGCCGCACGAATGTCCGGATCGATGGCTATAGAACCGGTAGTGTGCTCCGTCGCTGTTGCATCACCAGATTGACGTTGAACTGAGAAGCTGCCACGCGATTTCGAGGTTTCCTGCACTTCCTTCTCCGTCTTGGAAGCTTTCTCCTTCTTCTCTTTGTCCGTACCTCTAATCGAGAATGTCATTCTCTTTAATGAATCTCTAAGTAACGAGTAATTTCGTCGAAAATCTAAGTAAATGAAACTAAAGTAGCATTTATCAAGCTATGAAAATCAAAGGATCCTATTTTATTAAAATTTTCTTTTAATTGAAAAGCATTTAGCATAAAAATTAAGTGAAATTAATATGAAATTGAGGAATTTAGCCAACCCGCTTTTCGTAGTGCTTTTTCCATTATACTGCTTGCACGTGTCCAGTCCAGAAATCGCCGTGACCTGCTCTATCGTCAGCGTAGACCTCGACGAGCTGCTCGTCCTGCCCATCGCGACGTGAAAGATGCTGGCCTCACCCTGCGGTAGCCACAAAAATATTATTTGCTCCGCGCCCAGTCTCGAGACATTACCTCGTGTAACTCACTGCGAATATGGTAGAAACTTCTTTTACCCCATCAAGCATCCTCTCCGAGTCGCTCAAAGATGGTAATCTGAATATTACCTGGCGCAACGGAAAATAAATTATTTATCGTATAATCTGTGATTAATATTCATGACAATCGCACAACTTACCACATGTTCATCCTCGGCGCCTGAACTTTCTTCGGGAATGGTTTCCGGGAAAATTTTGTCCTTCGGCGACGATATCCACGTACTCTGTTGCTGATCATATTTATGCAAAATTATTTACGCTTGTAGAAAAATTCCGATAACACTTATTTGACTTTTTAAACTCACATCATCGTCAATTACTTTGGAAGATGGTGGGGCGCCCTGATCCGAAAACGATTGGCTAGGTGGACTTTCGATATCTGAATAATGTTCAATTGAACGGAAAAGCAACGAAATGAAGAAAAACGAAACAGACTTTGAATTAAATATGACGGCAACGTTGTTAAACGATGATAAATATTTTAATGTAATGTTGCAGAGATTTAGTCTATGAAAACTTGACAATTTTAGATGATCAAAGCGGACTCACTTCCTCCAACGAAAACGTCATCTGACAACATGTGATGCTTGGCGGTTGATTTGAAGGATTGGCTGCTCCAAAAAAGACGTGGCTTGGCACGACAATGCGCCGTGAAGCAAGATGCATCCGGATGCCGACATTCGTACATAGCGGACCATATTTTTAGGCCGTTCTCTAACCGTAAATTCGTTTTGAAGTCGATGTCCTTTAAATGATTGCATAGGGGCGCGAACAAGTAAACGAAGAGCTGGACCGAGAAAAAGAATCATTATTATGACGATTTATGTTCCATCAAACCGCATGAAAACGGAGGATCTCAACAACTTACGGTCATAGTTGGTATTGGAAATAAATAGAAAAAAGGATTTGGAGGGTCGGCTTCGTTCTCGGCGCATTCTTCGGCCGAATCCAAGAGTATCCAGTGAAGAATGTAAAGAAGCGTTGTTTCCATCGATCCGAGACTCTGAAAATCCTTCCTAAAAGATTAACGACGACGACTTTCGCGTGAAAATTCGAGGAAGCAAACTGAAAACTAAATGCTACTCACTATGGCTCACCTATTGTGCAAGAGACTGGACGCAGCATGGAGAACGTAAGGAAGAGCGGCTTGGATTAAACGCCAGCGTGGCACACTGCTCAATATCTCGCTCAACGAGGGTGTCAGATCATTGTGAAGATTCTGCACCAAAACCCTCTCAAGGCACTATAGAAAAAAGCAAAAAAATGTTTCAAAAGAAGCTTTGTTGCTCTTTAGCATTATCGACAATGTAACTTTATCGTAGCTATGAATTTGGAGCGCATCGATAATCTTGAAATAAACATAAAAAATAACTTGTCTTGCTATCGACGTAATAATATTGATTTTTACACTTTTATATATTTTTTATAGAGTTTTTATACTGACCGAGCATGCTTCCTTCATTTCCTGTGCAAGCATTTCGGGAATGAGAAGAACGAACAATATTAATCTTCATAAAATAAATCTTCATAAAATATTACACGAAACGAACAAAAAAATCAGGTCAACAGGATAAATAAATTAAAATAATCAATTTTTGCAACAGGCTTCGAGCAAAGCTAAGTGAAATGTTCAATTTGATGAATAATAAATTATGTATTGTTTACTTGTAATAAAGATACTGACGTAAATGGATTCAATTATAATAATGAAGTGCGTTTGTGTACTAATTTACAATAACGTAAAAATTTTATGAATTTGTAAAACTTAATTATTGGAAATCACTAATTGTGAGTATTAAAATTAAAAATGAGATAATTTAATATCGAACGTCTAATTAAATTCACATTCTACTGCATTTCATTCTTGTGTTAGAAAATTTGCACTAGTATTTTGTCCTATGTGAAAGATAAATACCATATAAAATATAATAGAGATATTATATAATTAATTAAAAAAAATATCTAATATAATCTAAGTTTCTAGTCGTTTTAATAATATATGATGATAGAAACGTTACTATATATATAAGTTTCTTGAAAAGATCGTTACGCTGTATTTTCGTCTGTACAAGTTTATCATGCATTCCGGAAGATGCGAAAATGATAAAACCACAAACAGTGCATCGAACGCAAAATAATAAAAGCAGGCTTGCGTGCGAGCTTGCAGGCAGGCATTAAACGGGCGAGCCAACTTACATGATGGCCTGGCGCGTGTTGACAGAACTGCAGGTGACACGTGGAGGCGGCCGCGTGGAGAGGACATTTTGTTAATGCGAGTAAAGCAGGTATTGCGTAACGTAGGACTGACAGGACGATACGCTCAATTATACGTTACATTGCCGTTATATTGTTACATAAAACCGTCGCGAATAGGGACAGACACAAACGCTTTTAGTATTTAAAATACAATTTAGATTATGTAAAACAATTTAAAATGTACGTAGAATAGCAATGAGAAGGATAAATCACATATTGATTAAATTTGTCAGAAATTATTCCGGTTTTTTAATTTAAAAAAATAAACATCCATCAATCATTAATTAATACGTATATTTAAATTCTAAGATCTTTGCGGTTTATCTACAAATAATTTTGTAGAAAAACATGTATACAAAATCGTAAATTAATATACATACTTCCGCGCAATCATGTTGTTCTTCTTAACAAATTAATTGCGCGCTAACGAACGACGTACTGTAAAACGAAACTACGAAATAGAGCAGACTCACATAGAATATATGAAGCAGGCCCTTGACAAAAAGCACAACAATTTCGACAGAAGACGATCACGAAAGCGGAAACCGGAAGAAAGAAAAGTTCCTCTGTGGTAGAGCGAAAGCGTGTGTGTGTCCGCGATTTAAATAGCCGCCCGATCGGATCGGTGCCTTGGGATCGATAATATTGGGAACACGCGGCTCTCAGGAACAAGCGGTCGCGGAGTATTCAATCCGACCGACGAATCTTGCTCGCAGTATTGAACGTGTGAAAAAGGCATTCTCGCATTTTTGTAATTACGATTTAAGTATCTCTAACGTCTGAGGCAATTTTCTTTTGCTTTTTCTCTCAGTCTAAGAGATATTTAAAATAATGATTGAGTCAAAATTGTTACCGTGCAAGATGCCTCGTGGAGTTTTCCTAGCTTAGCTCGAATAAATGGCCTGAAAAAAAAAAAGCAAGACAGGGTGAGACGCTGATTTGCAGACGGAGAGAGACGCTTATTTACAGATGAGCACGTTACTGTGTTCTATAAAAACAATAGAAAATGGTTCCGTGCAGTCAGCTGACCTTATATGCCGCCAAAGGAACATCTGAACCGGGATAGGCAAAGGATACTCCTGCAAGCCACCATCCAAGGACCGTCGTTTATCCATGACTGCTCCAGACAACACTGAAATGTTTCAGGATCGCGCATTGACGCGATCGAGTGGCTTAATTAATCAAACACAGAACTGATTTATTCCGATATCGGTAGTGCTGCCATCGCTGCCACGTGTCTCACCTCGCAAAACAGATCCTTCCGTCTTTAAGTACTATACGTTTACGTCGTGCACACACCCTCGGCGGAGCCAGCAGCACTCCACCAGCCAGTGGATCAATTCCCGATCGGGAAACATCGAAGGCGTACGCTCGCGAGTAACTCCGGAATGGAAAGACCTCGCGTCTGCCCGCACGCGAGATTCACACACTTTGAACCGAGTGTTACGAGCGAAGCGTATTCCTCGCCGCGGCGGGGCGAGTCATCGCGCGTGATTATTATCCGGTCCGCTTTAGGTGCACTCGCGTGTCGGACGCAGCCGCCGGAAGACACCGACGCCGGGCATGTCGAAGATCACCGAGAAGTAAAGAGCGCCGCGCGCGAAGAAATGTATCACGTGCCACTCGGCCTAGTAACACACTTCCGTCATACCCTGCAGGTGCCTCGCGCGACGCGAAGCTGTGTATACACCCCGGCGCCGGGATAGCGTGTAACTGAAGAGAACGCGTTCTACGCGCCCCCGTCCTCGCGACTGTGGGACGGTGAATGCGCGTGCGGAAAATCCAATGCGCCGGTCGTTCCATCGATCAGCCCTGGAATCTGCTGCTGCTGGACCACCCCTACGGGTGGCAGCCCACCCCTCGCGACGCGCCGCGCCGCGCCGCACCGCGCGTCGCGTCCCTACCAACCCATTTACCCACCTAGCCCAACGTAGTCGTTTACTCGCCCGATATGACGATGGGCGAGGCCATCTTCCGCGGAGCAATGACTGGCGAAGAACGCGCAATTTACCCTCCCGTATCGAGCCGGGGTGTGCACCATTCAATTATGATAAATGATCGACACCGTGTATCGATAATTCATTTCTTGCAGCGCAGCGGAGTGCGATAACGCTAGCTTTCGTGGCGAGTAGTAAAGAGACTGCGGCTAAAAGGCTACGGTCGTTTAACGTATGAATATTATATATGAAAATGCCACGGGAACGAGAAAAAGAGAGTGTCGGAGAGATAACGATGGACAATGATGCTTGAAGAAAATCGATACTGAAGCGCACGATACGTACCCGAATGTCATCGGAACGCAACTAACGAGCCTGCTTAGAAATCGCCTCCCGCCCACCGCGGTCCCAATCCGTAATAGCTTCGCCGGCGTTCTTATGTATGTCAAGACGCTCTTGGGTAGGACGCGGTCTTTTGTTGAGAAAACCCTCCACGTCCTTCAACGTCATATCCAACTCGAACACCATCTCGCGTGTACATGCCATTATGCCGCCTGTCTTCGGAGCGTCTTCGGGGTTTGTCACCGGGCTGATCTCTATACAAACTTCCGTGTTGCCGTCCACTCCTTCCGCTTCTTCGCTGATCGCTCTACATACATCGCGCCATAATTCTCTTTGTCCAGGATGCAAGATGTCGACCAGCGCCCGGAAACTGTCCCAGTCCATATCTCCGCTGTTCGCGAGAATTTCGCGGTAAATCCGCAAAATTTCCGCCGTTGTGTGCTCATCGCCAACGACATCTTTTAACGATTCATCTCTGTAAATAATTCGTCGTGCGATTTTTCTCGCAAAATTGTCCGCGGATTCCATTTTTCCTTGCCTTGATTTGTCGAAAGAAGCGGGAGTAGTCATATTTTCGTGAGAAATTTTGACGGAATCTTTAGATACGTCCGAGTCGCGGCTGCGCGTGTTTACAAAATTATCTCGCCTCCGACAATTCTTATCTTCCGCAGACAATTTAGTCGGAATATAATCATCCGCGCAAATATTTGTCCTCTCCTTGTCTACCGTGAACAATTTATTACAACGAACAAATGTGCCATCCGTAGATTTGGAATGCAATAATTTTTTACCGTTCAACACATCGGTTGTTAAACATCTTTCGCAATAAAACATGAGATCTTCGGCGGAATTTAATGACAGTCATTTTTTGAATAACATGATAGAACTTCCTTCGTGTTTCTGGCGATAGTCGAGCGAGAAAATTCGATTCGTGCGTTCGTGGCTCGCGCATCGACTTTTGCGCGTTATCAGAAATTCTATCCCTTGCAATTTCAGCTCTGACATGTCGTGCGATATCTAGAGAGGGTCTTGACGAAACTAATCTACGACCTCGGGGAGTGTCTCCGTCTGTGTTATTTATCTCATCTTTTTTATCCAGAGGACCCCATCCATTCGTGTATCAAATTCTCGGCGGAGGACGAGCTAAAAGTTGTATTACTTTCTCTTCTTCGCCCTAAAACAGTGCAATCTTCCAAAGAATCCTTTTCCGTACAATCAGACCAGCTGTCCACTATTTTCTTTTTCTTCTCTCTCGTATCAGAATGTCGCATAATGTTCTTTCTATTATTGTTCACTTTAAGCATCGATAAGTACTCATCTATTTCAGATAAATGTCCCGACTCGTCGAACAACCAGAATCCTGAATCGCGTTGAGGATAATCGTCCCGACTGCCATATAAAATGGAACTCTGTCTTTTCTCGCATCTTCTACACGAGTGCAGCGTCCTTCTTGCATCTTGGAAAAGAGATCTTCTTCCTTATCTAGCGACGTAAATTGGCCACGTGCCAAATATTTCACAGTATCGATAGTGGAATACATATCCTTGCGCTTCTCAAACAATCGTTGCAAACCTTGGATTTTTTGTACACTCTTTGTGCGCCAATCACCCGCCAGTGAATCATCAATTTGCAATTTAGGTTCGTACGAAATCTTTCTCACAATTTCTTCCTTGTCAGCGTAGGCTTTCATCACCGTTGAAGGTTCGTAATTACACGAATAATTATTTTGTGAAGTGCTGTTGTACTCTTTATTATTTTTAAAATCGATAAATAATCTTTTAAGAACGTTATTATTAAAGTGAGATTTATTTTTAATTTTAACATCGGTTTTTCTCTCGGAAACATTATTAACTCTTTTTGAACTTTCAATACAGCTCTTTATTACGTAAGCGCGTTCGTTAATTGGCAATGATTCAGTTCCGTGCGATTCGTTTTTGTATTTAGTCCGGCGATTCATTTCAGAGCCATTAACAAATATTCTTGATTGCACATTGTTCTCTACATCGCTTATTGAAATCTCTGGTTCTTCATTATTCTGTTCATTATTAGTGCAGTCGCGCTCAGCTGATACAATATCATGTTTGGTTTTTGTTCTATTTTCTTTAACTCTTTCAGTGGCAAAACGTGATCTCAGCATACTTATTACCCCGCAACGTTCGCATTTGTACAAGGAAGAATCCTTTGAGAGAAAATCCTCTAACTTTTTGCTGCGACGTTGCGTTAACACACGTCGCAATGTTCTCGAAATCTCGTTACAGCGACTGTTAGTCACTGAAGAAACATTAGAATCCGAATCTGTAATAAATTCGAGAACTTTACAAGCCGCTCCTAATTCAATGAAAAGCGCGTTACTCGTGTCTCCACATATTTTAGAAAGCGTATCTTCTTTACTTATTTTCTCATCCGTTCGATCGTCCAATTCTTTTCTATCCTCGCATAATGCAGGGATCAACCGTTTATCCAAGCTGCAAGAATGGCCCGAATAATCATGATTCAATTTCTGATAGGTAGGAGATGATGAAACAATTTCCGATCTTTTTACGTTTTGATACGTGTTCTCAGTTTTCTCTTTTTCATCGAACGGATCACACAAATCTCGTTTGCTCTCATATTCGCTTATGGTGCTTAAAGTTCTCGTGGAAGGTGTTATTGTGTAATTCGAAGATGTAATTTGGGGTGGAGCTATCGTTATTTTCCATACATCACCATGAGCCATGTCCGACGATACGTAAAATTTATTCAAGGATCTTCTCGATGATACATCCTCTTCTACGTTGACCTCTAGCAGAAGATCGAGTTCATCATTTGCATATTCCGCAGAGCTAAATGTTTGATAAATTATTATTGGATTTATTATTATGTAGATTTTGTCTGACAAGTGATTTTTTATTACCAATTACGTTTCATATTCATTCGTCGCCATCGAAATGGTTCCTAGAGAACAATACATTTTCATCGATTTATTCCGTTCTTATCTGCATTAATTAAATTTAGATTATTGACATGCAGTTTTAAAACATTTATCAAAGTTATAATTATTTACATACTGCGTGTAGGTTATAAATAAAGTTTCACAAGATTAACATGAAATTTGCTATTTAAATATTTCGCTCATAAGTCTCGCATGGTTTTGCGACTACTCGCATTACTCACGTTTATATCTTAAGCATTCTCTTTAACATACAATTATATAAATATATCGATATTCTTTTTAACATACAATTATATAAATATATCGATATCTTAAATCCTAAATCCTGTATCTCGAATTTTTGACTAATTTCACTTTTTCTGTTATGATAGTATTTTTATCTTTTTATGTATCAAAATTTTTTTAAGATAATCTTAAAAATTTATTTATTAAAACAACTTAAAATCGAGATTTTAGACTTAAAGTATTGTGATATATTATCTAAATTAATAAAACATACAATTATAACAATTATAACATTATAGTCAATATATAAAATAAAACTATCTTGATTAAATTTTAAATATTTTTATATTACTCCATTATATTAATAATTTAAAACATAAAGATTTGCTTGGAATGTTTGAAAAAATAATTAAAATTCAGCATTTGAGCAGATAAAAAAGTGTCACTCTTTATACAACGAACAAAATAAAATCTCTGTGGAAACTAGAAATAACTACATATCGCAAATAATCGCGTATAATCGATATCGAGTTTACGCTCATGAAAATGTAAAAAAATGACTGTCTTGCGTCCCATCATAGACGATGCGTGAAAGAGGCTGCCCTTTGTAAGAATGCCTCAGATCATGGCAGAGGCATTTGCAAGAGGGCTGTTAGACAAGATAATGGTAGAAGTTCTGGACGTTATAGATCGCGACACACAGGATGGTAAGATATAAGCGTCTGCGAGTTTCGTAAATGTAACGGCGCGTTGAATAGCAACGTGTTGTACACGTCGATGTTGTTCATCGATAAATGCATGTTGCTTCATAATAGCAAGATTTTCTGTGTGATAAATGCAAGCAACATGTGACACGTGATTGATAATTATCGCACATAAAGATAATTGCGTAAATATATAGATATTTAAATAATTATAATATTAAACACAAGTACAAACTGTCATTGTACATAGAAAAATCCTGGGGACCGCGCATTGATGAGGAAACAGACAATGCCCAATTGGAATTCGTAAACGACGCATCTCAAGCGTACGAATGCACACACAAAAATTACAGCAAGGCCGAAGAAATGGAACTAATTGCGAAAATAGTTCGCGACCTGCGCGACATACAGATTGGAGATTCGCGTTACGTACTGTCGCCTTCATTGTTAGCGTTGGAAAAACAGGTAATTGGATGCAGCTGTATGAATGAAAACCTTTTCGAGACATTGTTGTTCAAGCACAATCTCTGGCGACTGTTATAATCATTAATCTTTATTTAGCTCAAGAAAGATGGTACTAAAACTTTTAATAAGTTAAACCAGAATAAGATAAAACTGCTTTCTTATTTTATGGAAAAAGTAAACGACTATCTCATTTTTCAAATGTAGAATATTTTACTTCTGAAATAAGTTTATAATTATATAAACTTCTGCAAGAGTAAGAATAATTAAATAAAATTACAATTAAACAATTACAATTAAATTTTGCAAAATAAAATTCTTTTAAAAGTTACAATACTCACTTCAATGCAGACTGTTCTAAGTAAACCGGATAGTTGCATTTACACGACAATCACGTGCGAAAGGTCTCGCGTGTGCAATATAATCGCAATTTGCTCTAGAGTCGCTTCTACGCCGCATTAATTCCACGCGTGCCTGTTCCCTGCGTATGTTATGATACGAAGACGTTTACTCACGAGACATTCACCTGTCCTCGCTCGAACAGGTGAAATGCGCCGCGTGTAACGTCGACGGCGTATCACCGGCGAACCCAACGTCGGCCGACATCGCTGAAACTCAGCGCGCGTCTCAGGGTCAAGGCGACACGCGCCGGATTACACCAGCGGCGATCCACGAGTCTCCGGCCGAGCCAACGGAGCCGCAGAAAACGATCCAGAAAGAGAAGGAGAGCGACACGGTCGGCGAAGCAACCAGCGTGTCCGCCGGCCTGCTGCACCAGCTGATCGAGCAGTTGGAAAACAAGACGGCGGCGGCCTGTTCCAAGAATGACGCGCCTTTGGACTCGACCAGCAAGGATCGCATCGCCGTTTGGGAGGAGAAGGAGGAGCAACTCATCAGGACTATCGAGGGCAATGCGCGCGAGATCGCGACGGAGGCGCTTCGCAGCGAATCGATCGGTCGCTTCCGCGTCGTCGAGCTGAAGCACAACGAGGAACTGAGGTGTCATTCGAGTCAGCACGTGGCGTCCGCCTCGAGAGACACCGGTCTTGAAGAGATCCAAATCGAGAAGCGCGAGTCGAGCTCGACGTTGAAACGGCCGCGCGACGACGCCGCGATGGAGCAGATTTTACCCGCGGACGACGCGGAGAAACGAAAGACGTTAAGCGAAATAACGAGGAAAAAGAAGAGAGGCTTCGGCGACAGATTGAGAAAATTCCTCCGCACCACTTTCGGCCACCGGAAGAATTGACGCGGCGTTCCGGATGAAACGTTACTTACGCGATCTACTTTAAGCGCAATGACGACAAAGGAACACCCTTTTAAGTCGTGCATTTTTAAAAGGGAATCATGCTCCCCTCATTTTTACCCGCTGCACTCCGCTGCCTGTTCGCAAATCCAGCGGGTAAAAATAACCGACCCGTATCCAGCCTCCCGTAACTTCGGCATCTTTTGCGGCTTAAACGCAACGTGTGAATCAGACTCTGTATATTTCTAGATGATAATCATGCCAAGCGTTTCATCCACATTGTTGAAGAACCCACAAAATTCTGTAAAATATAGCATCTGACGATCTCATATTTGCGTGTCGTGTTTATTGCGATAGTTTAAACGATTCAGCAGGGAATAAAAGGAGCAATAATTGCAGAATTTGATGTGACGCTGAAGGCCGAAGGTATTTTTGCTTTCACACTGCGGATCTGGCAGCTCTGACATAAGAATGTCGTCGTGTCGACATATATCGTAATCCCATTTATCGTAGCAGGAAGAGGCGCACCGGCCAACTCTCGCCTCTCGTCGCATCTCGAACTGTTTTTGGACCGCGGCGTTGCCATGCCCGGCGCCGATCCGGACCGTGAAACTTCTTGTCGAAACCTGGACCTCAGCATCCGCTGTATCTTGATCACAGCGACATCTGCTGAAATAAAATGAGTAAATTTGGTAACACACGGTACCACTTCTGGTTCACGCTTCGTTCGGTTAGCATCCACTAGCACCAGACGATCGACAATGGTGAGTCTCGATACATTCGCCGATTTTTCCTTTCTTGAGGCTGAAGATTTGTTTCTGAAGTCTTTATTCGTGTTCTGTAATTTTCTTGCTAACAATTATTTTATAATTCTAGTTATATAATTCCAATTTTATAAAGTTCAATATATTTTCATCATCTTATAATTTATGTTTAAAATTTTTTTAATATTGTCGACTGGATTGCTTTCAAATAATAATAAATTCATTAATCTTTCAATTCAGTTTTAATCAGATTACGTTTAATAATAAATTAATTAAATTAATGATAAACAACCAACTTACCAAAATGTATAACGTTTTAATTTAATGAAAAATTTTATATTTCAGGCAGACCTCAGCGGCAAAGACGTCGAAAGTGAGTAAAGCAATCTGTAAATAGTTTTCTCATATTTCAGTGAGCAAACCATATGGAAATAATTAACAAAAATAAATTTACCAATTTACATCGCAATCACGCGCGCAAACTATAAGTGAACTATAAAACGAACTATAAGTGACTCTGTATTAGTAGTTTCGTAATTTTCAACTCGTGCGTGATACTACTAGAGGAAAGTGTGAAAGAAGTTTCGACAGAAAAATCTAAAACTTTTATTCCTATTAAAATTGATAGTAAATTTCGTGCCAAATTATATTACTCGCTAATGCCAAAACCAAATGTCAACGTTAAAATCACAATATCAATGATTGCAAAAGAAAAATTTGATTAATACATTTATCTTTAAAAATATTTATTTTATTCTACACTTAAGTTGGATTATTTAAAAAAAAATACTTATAGAAGATAAAAAAGCATTTGATTTCTTTAAAACCAAAGATGGGTTTTTAAACATATATTGTTTGCGCGTTTTGATATTAAATAATTAAATATCTGTTTCTATAACAAACAAATACAATCTATTTAACACAAAAATTAAAAATTTTTTAAAATAATACTTTTTGTATTAAATTTTCGCGGATATTAGTAATTAATTCAATAAAATAAATCATAACATGCAAATTTTCCTTTACCAAATTTTCAATTTGCTCGTGTGATCGCGAATATCGTCATTTTTTCGGCGTTACATAACGGCTCATCGGATAGAAGGATGCAACCGTTCGGTAGCATGTCAAAAATAGGTTGGTAGGCTGTTCTTATATGGTTCGGCGGGGGTAATCTGACCCACTACTTCCACCAGCGAGTTCCTCAATCGGCGGGTTAGTGGGGGTTGCCGCCACCCAAAATAGAACAATATTTTTGAACTAGGTACGCACCGTGATACTCCGCGCCTGCCGACTGGTATTAACCCAGATTTCGCACCTCACATATTTAACACATAAACCAAATATCTATGGCTGATGGTAGAAAAGTATATCACGAACATTTTTACTTATTCAGTTATTACATTTAACGTAAAAAATGAGCACGTCTAATCGTCGCCAAACGCATCCGCAAAGATATCTGTTGCTGTATACTTGAAAAAAATAACATAAAAAATTATTTATTTTATTGAAAAGAGGCAGAATTCGCTTTCTCCATTTACGATACTGATGGCACCAACGTCATCGATGCAGTTGACCTTGGTAATGTTCTCCGCGCGTTGAACTTGAACCCCACAAATGCAACTATTGAGAAGTTGGGCGGCACAAAGAAGAAGGGCGAAAAGAAACTAAAACTTGACGAATTCCTGCCAATCTTCAGCCAGTGCAAAAAAGACAAAGAACAAGGGTGTTACGAGGACTTCTTGGAGTGTTTGAAGCTGTACGACAAACAGGAAAACGGAACTATGCTCGGCGCGGAATTGTCTCACACGCTTATGTCGCTTGGTATGATCATCTTTTACAAATTATTATAGAAACATAAGAAAGAGTTTTAATTCAACAAGTGTCCATACTTCATTTCTATCATTATTTCCCTAAATATGACAAATTATTTGTCAAAAATTTTATTATACGCTAATTACAAAGAATTCCGGTAGACAACTTCTTTCATTTCTATATGCAATTTTATGAAAAAGCATCTTTAAATTATATTTATTTTTATGACCTGAAAACCGTTTATACATATTTATTATATGCATTTGCTGTAAACAAAAAATAATAATTTAAAAACATCTGCTTTCAAGAAATTATAAATAATCTTATCGCAGGTGAGCGTCTCACTGATGCGGAATGCGACGAAGTAATCAGGGACTGCATGGACCCCGAAGACGAAGACGGTTTCATCCCCTATGCCCGTAAGTATCGACTCATGAGTTCCAGAAATTGATTGCGTCCCCCTCAATTAGACAAAGAGTGTTAAATCACCTCTGCACCCGTGAGTCACAACATATACAACAGTATAGTTAGTGTAAAAATTATTGTTAAAACCCCCATCTATTCTGTAAGTCCACGAGTCTGGTTTGCTAGAGCTGAAAACACTTTAGTGTAAAAAATATTGTTCAAACCCCTGTTTATTCTGTAAGTCCCCGAGTCTGGTTTGCTAGAGCTGAAAACACTTTAGTGTAAAAAATATTGTTAAAACCCCTATCTATTCCGCAAGTTCCCGAGTCTGGTTTGCTAGAGCTGAAAACACTTTAGTGTAAAAAATATTGTTAAAACCCCTATCTATTCTGTAAGTTCCCGAGTCTGGTTTGCTAGAGCTGAAAACACTTTCGTATATCTTGCAAGTACAGTTGAAAGACCCCCATCGTAATATCCCCTATTCGTGATGTATAGCCCCTTAATTACTTCCGGCAACGTAAAGAGGCGACTCCGACATACTCCGCGAACTTTCCTCCGGATTTAATTCACTCCCTTCCCATTGTTTGACACTTCCACATTTTTGTGTTTCGCAGCCTTCTTGAAGAAGATGATGGTGCTGTTGTAAGCGGTCAAGGTGTTGTCGAGACAATGATCATCCATCGTGAGTACATTGTCCAGTACGAGACTCCAATGTTTGTCCGTCACTTCTTCGCTTCGACTGTCTCTGTGCCTCTACGTCTCTTTGTCTTTCTATCTCTTTGTCTCTCTCTCTTTCTCTCTCTCTCTCTTCTTCTCTCTCTCTCTCTCTCTCTCTCTCTCTCTCTTTCTCTTTGTATTTATTAACATCGTTCCATCCGCTTCTTCTCGTTGAACATATTCCAGAATTTATAGGACGCAACGCTGCAGCTCAACAGGGATGCTGAAATCGATAACCCGCTTCTCGCGCAGAAACACGTACGAAGGTTTGCTCGCGCACGAGGTCGATGACTCGACGAGATCATTAAATTATCTGAAATAAAATAAGTAAAGAATCTTGCAAACTAAATATTAGAACTAAAAATTTATATAATAAAAGATTATTTACAATACATTCTGTGTAAATTTTTATAATTTACTTTTTTATTTAAATTTCGCGATTGTCAATTATTTAAAATGGAAAACATATAATTATATTCATTATATATCTTATATATAAATTATCTTCTTTTCTACACGTATGCTTTTGCTGTAAGAGCAACTTTTAATTCTCAAAATTCCTTGCATCCTGGTCATTATATGCAAATTATTAATGCTTATTATACATCTACATGTCTGTCGCTTCTCTTGCTTAGCTATTAAGAAAAGTCAGCACGGCAGCACAAAACGGAACATTGACTGCCTATATCTGAATAATAGGACTAAATTGTCTAGCATTTACAAACAGTTTCATGCAGACTAATTTTCGATCTCTGCCTTTAAATGTACGTTTATCAACTTTATAAAAACGCTTAATCATTTGTCTCGGTATGTTTGCATTTTATCTACGTGAAAAATATACTAACGACAACACTTTGTTCGCAGCGTTCCTTCGTAGACTGTGTGAAAAAGCGGCAGCAGGTGCCGACGATTAATGAACAGTAAGATGATCGCCGTCAACAACTATCCGCTCCACATCAACGAAGGACACACTTGCCATATTCGCTCGTCACATTCGCCACACTTTTCGTCCCTCCGCTCGATCACGTCGCGCACCCACGCGAGGACCCACCTGACAATTTGCACGTAATCCGCAATACGCGATCCTGATATCAGCACCGTCGAGACGCCAACAGCATTTTATCGAAAGAGAAGCAAAAAATCTACGAATATCGAGTACAAAAAAATTCAACATTTCATCTCGAACGCATGCAATATCGTTAATTGATTCGGTTTCATACACTGTTGCGATACACGTTGAATATACAGGAATGTAAAATATCTTCTAATAATGTAGCAACATTGTACAAAGTCGAATGAAACGGTCGGTGTTAATTTACTTCTTACTGTTACTGTAATAAATCGTTCCTCTCGAATTATCGGAGAGGATTAAAAGTCGTCTATTGTGCGTTATTATTTTTGAAACAGACCCGCCTATTTTCTGCTCTTTAGCCGTCTTGTAAATTTCATAATAATTTCTTTCCGCGTTATTTATCGTAAGACCGCGTAACATTTCGTAAGACGACCTAGTTATTGTTATATTGTATATTATTATTATCTTATATTATATTGGTTACTGTTATAATATAATGTTAAAGGCCATCAGATATAGACTTTTTGCAACGTCGCTAGATAAGTCTGGCTATTTTTGTCTGACTGACATTTTCTTGCTCTACTTAAATGATCGCGTGAGAAACACAGACAATAAAGTTTGTCACAGTCGAAATCTATTTAAAAACCGCATTAGTATGTTGAATCACGTCCTTTCACGCATTCCACAAAACATGATAATAGCATAGTCATCTATTTCTGTAGATTTCAGTAATGCAATGAAATACAATTGCATCATTAATTATTCGCATAGAACTTCAAACTTTAAAAGAACTATATAAATTAGCTAGATAATTATAAGTATTCGAAGACTATTGAAAAGTTTTCTTAAACTTAAAAGACAAAGTTAAAATCAATAAAAATGACGTCTGCGTAAAACTATGAGATTTAATAAGATAAAATCTGAAATGATAAAAAATTTGTATGTCCACATGTAATGAGACAATTCATAAATTAGCTTGGATCGAGTCCAAATAATTTCTGCTGGCTGAATTTCACAAATTGAGAAAAGTCGCTAATCCAGCCGATGCAGCCTACCGTGACACACATCTCTTCAGCATCCCGAGCGAGCGGGAGAGTAGCGAGCGGGAGAGTTCGATCGATAAATCTCGCGTGCAGCCGCCAGGCGCGGGTTTCAATCGCGCACAATCTCTCCGGTTGTCGTGCGTCGTCATCATACCTGGCCCGATGATAGAACGCTTGACGATGGCTTGTCGTGGGTGGACGAGCACGGTACGTTCGTACGCGCTCGGCAGGCTTCGCGTACAGGGATACAGGCAGGCGTGGGGCCTCCGCTCCGGTCCCGGCGAGCCGCCGGCGGCGGCGGCAGCGGCGGCGGTGGCGACGGCAGCTGCGGAGGTCGAGTCAGTCGCTTCAAACACGTCGTAAGCGTCGCGTGTTTTTCCGAGTCATCAGCGAAATCGCCGTCACCGGGGTTGTCATCGCAGCTCGTTTACCTCGTCCTCGCGTATTTATTTACGTGCGCGCGTAGTCACGGACTGACCACGTAGTCGTCGGCGTAACGCGCGGGCGCGCGACGTCGTAGTCGGAGTGCTTGACGCGGAGTGCCGAGAGGAAAGATCAATCTCCGGAGTAGACAAACCACCCCGCCTAGATTGCGCCGCGAGGATGACGGACGTCCAGGTGAAGCAGGACGCCGGTGGCAGGCTGTATCAGAGCGGCGCGCAGCAAACAGGTTGGTCCCGTCTCGCGCGAGCACGCGGTACCTTCGCGGCGACGTTTATTTTCGCAACCGACAACCTTGAGGTCGACGGTGGTCCACGGAGGCCACCGATTGGAGCAGCCGCGGTGCGCGTTCCGCCATTTTGACCCGACGCGCGGTAGAAATCTCGCGGCGGAAAAATCGCGCTTTTCCGCTTCGCACATTGTTCCGCGCGCCACTGATCCTCTCACGCGATTAACGCGAGCTGCGTGAGCCGCGACAGGACGAAACGCGATGCTGATTCGCCGTGCGATCTGCCGGGTGCGGTCTGGGAAAACGCGTGTGTATTGCGATATTGGGGACAATAATATCAGCGTTTGACAGATAACTTGATGTCATCCTTTCGGAGCTTAAACGCTCGTTAAAACTGAATGTGAATAATTTCTGGTTCATTGAATTTCCTTCCACAGAGCAGAATTATTCTGAAAACAAACAGATTCGTATTAAATGTTATAAATCTGTAGAACAGCCTCACCCGTTAGCTTTCTAGAAACATCTATGGTCAGTTTCTCCTACGATACGTTATTGATTTATCCGAATAAAAAATTCTGTGGAATAAATAAGTTATATTTGAATTTTTTTTAATTAATCGACACAGATTAATTTAGAAAGATTATTTTCCTACTTATTTAAACCTTTTGTCAATAACTTCTTATACTTTTTTTGTTAACTTCTGTATCATTTGCTGCAAGCTATAATCTTCAATTCGTTACATCACAACATATCATCCATATTACATCGTGCTTACAAGGTTGCATCGGAATAGCTCGTGAATTTGTCACGTATAGGACTTCGCTTTCGAAGTACTACGCACAATTCAGTGTTTCCCGATTCCTGGTTGAATAAAAATATAAATTTTTTTTCTAAAAAATATACAAACATATATTTTTATTTATCGCATAACTGTTACAAACATTGAACGAGGAAAGATATATATCACTTACTTTTGATTTTTTATCGCGGTCACTCTACTTCAGTGCACACTGAAAATTAATATCGCCACTTGTGAACAGCAACAAGCACTTCCATTGATCGCTGACGAAACGTCTGACGAAAACGTGTCGCGCATATCGGTGAATGAGTATTTTTGTATGAAACGATACACGAGAAACATTCTGCGACATGCAAAATTGCCTGTGAAAGATTCATATTTGCATTCATTAATTCACAAATGGAGATTCGTAATATCGAGGTATCACCGACTATCACGAAAAGATAAAACGCGCTTTTATTGATAAGAGATAAGAGAAATATGATACACAATGTAGAGCCGATTTAACATGCTATCCCGGAATTGCATATGCTATGCAATTATATATAAGATACATGATTATGTAAATACACGAACGATAACACAGTGAATACTTTGTCAATTGTGCTTATATCAATTCAATCTATTTGTGATACGCGAACCGCTGCTCACGAATCTCGAGAACGTATTATGTGAAGTGCATGCGCACTTATGTGTATAAGTAGGCATTAATTATTGAAGGGATCGGAAAGCGGCGGTTGTATGGGAACCTGGATAAGTATCATTACGACTCTTGCATAGATTTATGAGGAAGACTGTACGATGGCCTCAACGTCTGGGGGCATTATACTCGAAGCGATGAGAAAATCCAACGTGTAATGTAGCCGGCCTTACGACTGGGAAGCTTTTTTAACCGCTACTTACGCTCTTAATCGTGCTCTCTCCACCGCGCAATTGATACCTTCTGCCGGAATCAATTGCGATATAAAAATCGTCACGCGCGACCGTGGGAGAAATGCTGAGACTTTCGTTTATCGCTGTCGATAAAACGTCCGACAGCAGTCTCGCTGCCTGGCACAATGTACCCTGCAAAATCCGCCAATTCTTTCCGCCGTTGTCTGAAACGTCGCGACTTGACATCTTAATGATGCATGATGCAACGATTATTAAAACGAAAGATATTCGCTCGGAAAATTCAGCGCATTGTATGCCTCTTGTATTTCTCCGCGAACGAGGAAGTAACGTGACCCTGCGGTTATTAAGCGGCTTGGCGATGCTTACGCCGCAATTTACCGTAAATCAGAACCGACCTACGTTAAATGGGTCCTCAAGGTCTTGACGGTGAATAACGATCACGCGAGCGATCGCGCGCCGCTTTCCGTGAGCCGCGGTGAATTTTTATTCCCGGACGCCGGTCGTAACTCGTCGGCTTTTTATCGCAATGCAAACGTGGATGCAAAGTCGCGATATGAGTGATCGAAGGCTCGTCGCACGGATCGTCGAACTCCGTACGTGAGCTCTGAATGCGTCTTCGCTTCTCGCGGCAAACGGAGCAGAAAAATCGGCGCAACGAGAATGACGCTTATCGGCCAATTAGGAAATTGATGAGCGTCAATGAGCTAACGATGTTTCGTGGGCGTGTAATTGCCGGAATTGCCAGGACTCGCCTCCGATGACGGAGTTACGATCGGGACTTTAATCGGATGACCGTGTCGCCGCATTCTCGAATGGGACGACGCTTTGGGCGGACAGGCATCCGCTGTTTGTCTGCCACTTCCGGATACGGACAGATCCAGAAGGGGTTTCGCAGTTGTCCCAATTATTACGCAGACGGTGCCGCTAGAATCGTTTTATTTTTATCAAATTGAAACGTTTGCATTTTTTCCAAATAAAATAACAATCTCGTATTTAAATCACAGAAAATAACAAGTATAAAAATTGGATAATAATGCTTCACTCTGTCAAAAGTACAATTGTTCAAATTCATTACTGTAATCTTGAAAAACTAATTTCAACAATTAAGCTATAGTAATATTATAGAAAAACAATGTCTCCAGTCTCAATTTGCACGACAGACGCTAATCTGACATTGGCATCGGTTCTTTGCATTCGTCACTAATCGTTGAATTAATGGTTCGTAACCGGACGACATGATGTGTGGAGTTAACGCGCGAGTACCTAGCGGAGTTGCGTGAATACTTTACGTTATGCGAGTACGAGGCCAAGGTTCTGCTCGTTACCCACGTCCCCCTTCGCACCCTAACACTGGTCATTATTGCGATACGCGTCATATATATGTGCGCGCCCCAGCCCGTTCATAAAAGCATTGTATTTTATGTTGGCAATACAAAATTATCATTTTTACATCCAGTTTAATTCAATTTATCTCCTCCCTACTCATTGTTTTTTTAATGTACACGGTTCGTTTATTTCTTCAAACAAAATTTTATTAAAATACGGAAACAGCACCTGTTGTGAAAAAAATGTGATAGAACCTCGCCGCAATTCGACGTCGGTCAACTTATCCGCGCTCCGATAACGCTTTCGGAATAGCGCGAGGCATGCCGGTTCGCCGATGCACGCGTTACGTGCACGCTACCAATAATTATCCGGCCTCGATAGAACGCAAAGACGAAAAAGTTGTTGCAAACTCGCACAGATTATGCCTCGTTCAACGCGCACGGTATCGATCAAACTCCCCGCGAAATAACACTGTCGCAACAACGTGCCGCGAATTGCGAAACGTCGGCATGTGGTCGGTCCCATTAGCGGAATCGTCTCCGTTGGCAGCCGTCCGCACGTAAGGTTCAGCGACCG